TTTTTTTTTCCAGTTGATCAGCATGGTTGGGTTCTCTAGCCAAGTTCTGGTCAGGATCTCCAGCAAAGTTCTGGTTAGGATCTCCAGCCAGGTTCTGTGTCCATGTTCTCTTGCTAGGTTCTCCAGGTTCTCCAGCCAGGTTCTGTAGCCATGTTCCCTCGCTAGGTTCTCCAGCCAGGTTCTGTCCAGGTTCTCCAGCCAGGTTCAGTCACCAGGTTCTAGTCAGGTTCTCTTGCCATGTTCTATCCAGGTTCTGTAGCCAGGTTCTGTCTCTAGGTTCTGTCTCTAGGTTCTGTGGCCAGGTTCTGTCCAGGATCTTTTGCCATGTTCTCTCCAGTGAAGTTCTTCTGTTTCTAGGTTCTGTGTCTAGGTTCTGTGTCTAGGTTCTGTGTCACAATCTTTCTATTATATAATAAAACAAAGGAAATGTTTGCCTTAATGAACTTTTTAAAGGCAAACACCCTTGTAACCACCACCAGGTCAAGAATCAAAACTTCACTCCCTGCCCTTAGAAGCTCCTTCTCAATCACAACTGCTTCCCTACCACTACCACCTAGTAAGTAACCATGACCTAACTTTCATAGCCCTGCAATTCCTTTCACTTCCCTTTTTCTTTAATGGTTTTGCTACCCAAATATTCACCCCTGGACAGTATGGTCTCTGACACCCCCCCACACACACACACACTTAAAGTTTTTTTATATATCTTTTAAGGTTTGTTTTTTTTTTTTAATTTTATCTTTTAAAAAGTAGAGGCCTTTTGACTGTAGTCTTCCATAGACAGGTCTTGGCAAATTGCATGTTCATGGTGCAGTTCAACATGTTCCTCTTTCCCTGTGTTTCCTACAAACTGGCTGGTGGACTGCAAGTCTAGATCAGATTCGGGTTTGATTCCATCGGCGGTATTTTAGGTGGTGCATGGTTTTCCCTCAAGAGGCACAGGATGCCTAGTTCTCTCTCTGATCTTTGAAAATGTTGATGTACAATGCCTACATCTACTGACTCACGGGAGGTTGCAAAATTGGGATATTCTATCATTTCTCTGTTACATTATAGTGGAATACTTTTACGTAGATTCACTTCCTTTTATCTCTTACTTCGTGACCCAAATAACCAAACTTAACTTTTTAAAGTTCCTTTAGAGGAGAGATCCTGCCATCATCATCTACATAGTTCTCTTGGGCTCCTAAATCGTTGAACTGTGGCTACTAATTTGTTGAATTTGCATATGAAACATTCCCTATAAATGAGACTAAGAGGCACACTGAAGTTGTATGTAAAGCAGATGTATATTAATGAAGATATCATAGTAAATTCCAGCCACTAAGAAACTTAAAGTTCTTGATTCTCTGGTTGAACATGTATTCAAGGTCCAGTCTGTTTGCTGCTGGTAGTAAGCCTTTGTGACTTCCATGAAGAAATTGTTAACAAAGATGAACTGATGGAAGTGAAAAGGGATTCTTCTGAATCTATTTGCGTTCAGTATGCAGGGTTCTGGCCAGCTTTCCTCTAGAAAGTCAGAAATTAAATAATTATTTCCATCTACATCTGAGCACAATTTGGATTTCAAATGAAAGTGATTATTCTTTCAAACAGTCTCATTTGATATGTCTGCAGTGGTCTAGAGATCATACAACTAAACCAAACATTTAGTTTAAAAATTGCAAATGTAATTACTTTGAGAGTTTAAAAATATTGGGATTTTTGGGTTGTTTTTATGCTTACTACTGCACATATTCTGTAGTATGTAGAAAGAATAATTAGCTTCTTATTAGATCCTTGATAACAGCTATTGCTTTAAAAATATTTTACTTCTTAGCATCAACCTTAAACTACTTATTTGGTTTAACAGCTGAAGGCATGTAAGATACCTCCGGGGGTGCTTAGGAGTTCACCTGGAGGCAGGTAGGTGGAAGGGCCGCACCTCTGCGGGGATGTCCAGCAAGAACGTTGGGGTCGCATGGTTTGGCTTCTCAGTTCTTCAGCACCACTTAGTAGTTTAGTGACCTTAGATACTTTGTTTATGTCTTGCTTTCCTCATTGGTGAATCTGAGTAATCAAATCTATCTCCCAGTGTTGTTGAGAAATGTAAGTGATGTAAAGTATTGGAGAAAATACTTTGTAATAATTACTGTTAATAGATATTATATTTAAGGAGACTTACATTACAGCTAATGAGATGGATTGGCCATTAAGACAACTGACTTTAGGAAGGGTTTCAGTTTCAGATTTAAGTACATCTGAGAGATTCAGGTTTTGGAGATGCACTTATGTAGAAATAAAATGATAAAAATCAGCATACACCTGTGTTTTCTTTGAATATACATGTTATACTCCATCTCCCTGATGTCTACTCAAAAAAAAAAAAAAAAGTATCAGGTCCGGTATGCTATTCATTCACTATATAAAATTACAGACAAAAGTAGAACAGTTAGTCTTAACTATTAATTAAAAGACAGTAGTTCGCCTGATTCTCCAACCTTTGGGTCAGAGTTTTGTATATTACAAATCTGCAGAGAGAAACTTTTCCAGAAAAGATTTTCGTTCAAGTATTCTTGCAAGAATATTAAAAGGGTTTTCCCCCTTTTTCTCTTTTGACTTGAAGGGCATAAATTACACTGTACTTTATAGAAATGGAAATAAAGGCATTGGTTTGAATAATCCTCCATGTTACTTTGCTTGTGAAGCGTGAATCCTATTAATACTCCAATTGTTTATATTTATTTTACTAATTAGCAGCATAAGCTACCCATCCTGATTCAAACACCATACTGGATACTTTACAGTCATTCAAAGTGAAGTGAAAGAGTAGGAATGGGGAATGACCTCTAGGCCTCTAGGTCAAATTAAGGATTGTTGCTATTTCTTCCCTCTCATGTTTTCTAGCATTAGTTTTATAGGGCCATCCCTAGATGTTTTTGAAGGTTAGAATATTTTTCTCGTAACAACCAGTTTTCCAATAATTTGCTTCCAGTTCATTTAGAATTTGTCATTCAACTTTGTTTGCTCTAGCATGTAGTTTCATTACACTCAGGTTTGAGAAAAGTGTGTTTTCCCCCTTCTTTTGGTCAGAATGCATACCCGGGAGAGGGGCTTCCAAGCACAACGTGTTTAAACAATTCCTTTGTTCTTACCACCTCCTGCCCTTAAAACGGCGGTTCTCAACCTGTGGGTCGCGACCCCTTTGGGGGTCAAACGACCCTTTCACAAGGGGTCGCCTAAGGCCATCAGAAAACACATATATAATTACATATTGTTTTTGTGATTAATCACTATGCTTTAATTATGTTCAGTTTGTAACAATGAAATTGGGGGTCACCACAACATGAGGAACTGGATTAAAGGGTCGCGGCATTAGGAAGGTTGAGAACCACTGCCTTAAAAGTATGGAGAGATGCGGCTCCACAAGTTTCTATGAGCATCAGCTGTCCTGGGGCGAGTTTATTTTACAACTCAGGGAACCACCACCTTTTCCGCTTTATTCCTTTAATAATTGGAAGAAGCTACCCCGGGCTCAGAAGCGGAACCCACCCTGGCTGGGCGGGCGTCAGAGCGCCCTCTCTCGGCCGCTGGGCGTGTGGGGAAGGGAAGCGGCCACCCCAGCGCGGGGCCGGGGCCGCGGCCGACCCGGCTTTCCCAGCGTGCCCCGCGCGCCGCGGGGACTCTTAACGTGAAGCGCCGGTGATTCAGCCGCGTGGCCGCGCCGGCCGGGGCAGGGGGCGCGCGCCCTGCGGCACGGCCGGTCCCCGCGGCAGCTCCTCGCGGCGCGGAGTGCGCGCGCCTCGCTTCCCGGGCAGGTTCGGGCCGGCGGCGGGGAGCGGCAGGTAAGTGGCGGCGGCCGGGGCCCCGAGATTGGCCTTTGTGTCCGGGGGGGCGTCTCCTCAGGACGCCGCTCGGCGGAAGTCCGCCTGGTCCGACCCCCGCGCGGTCCCAAAATCCTCGCCGGGAAAGATGTCGGCAGACGGGTGCCGGCGCCGGTCCTGGTGCCGAGGGTGGGGGCTGACGGCCGGGAAGGGTCGCCTGCGGGGGCCGCGGAAGTGTAACGTGTGTCCGCCGCGGGCCTGTGGCGTTTCTGTCCCGCCAGCGGCGCCGGGAACTCCGAGGCGTTCGTCGATGAAGCGTTTGCAGACGCGGTCTCTTCCGGCCGTTCACGACCTGGTTAGGAATTAGGTTGTTGGTCGGACGCGCTCGCCCGCCTTCCGCCTTCCTCCGCCTCGGTCACCGCAGACACCGGCGTTCCCAGCGGCTGCCGGCAGAGGAGCCGGGCGGGCCGGACCCGGTCGTTTTCTTTTAAATAAAGCCTTTTTATGGCAGACAGCGTCCTCAGGTTTAATAAAACCTTACTTCTTATAGCAGACAGTGTCCTCAGGCTTACCAGCGAGCTCCGCGCTGTCAAAAAACCTCTTCTGTTTTGGAGTTTGTGATTCTTCCTGAAAATTCCTGCGTTGAAACGATGTATGTATCAGCAAACCAGCCAGCCGAATAGCAGGATAAACCAGGCTGCGGAGGGACTGCGGGCCCGTTGGTGCGAATGCGTGTTCCAGCCTCTCACCTGCCCCTGCGGCTGCCACCTGAGGACGGAGGGTTTTTACCGGTTCCCAAGACAGTGTTGTGGTCTCAGTGAAATAGGATGAGTCCAGAATCAAAGAGCTTCCCTCCCGGCCTCCCTCCCCCCCATCCCGGCGTGAGGTTGCTCCGCTCAGACGCCCGCGCCCCTCCCAGGAGTCCGACCCGAGACAAACCCGGGCGGGTCCGAGCCGCCTGTGCCGCCGAGCCAGCGCCCTCCTGGGCTGGTGCCGGGATCCGGGGTCCGGGGGCCACACCTGGGGACACGCCGCCCAGCTCCCTCGCCCCTTTGTCGGTTCTCTCTCCCCTGCCCCCTAACCAGCCAGGAAGCGCCGACCGGAAGGAAACTTCAAAAAAGAGAGTGTTTTCTTGGACTCTGACTCGGGGTAGGAAATGACTCTCGTACACATTTCTAATACTGCCTTGGTGGTTTGGAGGTGCCCGTGCCCACGGATCTGTCCTCTTTCCTTCTGGGGGCTACTCACTATCAACACCCCCAACCAGCCCGCCTCCTTCCCTTAGAACCGGGCAGCAGTGCCGTGTAATTGCCATGGCCTTGAGCTCGGGCGCCCTGGTGTGTAGCAGGCGGCAAACACTCCAGTAAATGCCTGTTTTGTGCAAAGCCCTGTAGAGGCCGTGTAGCTACAACATTGCCAAGAGGGCCAGTTACAGGGCTCCCTCGAGGACCACCTCTGCTGCCAAAGCCCTTTCCGTGTCTTAGTCCCTCTTCAGAGAGACGTGTCGGGAGGAGGTTCAGGTCAGGCCGTGTGTTTCTGACCGTGTTCCTGTCTTGGGTATCTTTGTGGTGTCTGATTTCTCTTACTCATCCATCTTTCCTATTGGTTCACAAAGCATCGTGTGTTGCCGTCCATGGTCCTGGGCTTCACATCATCCTCTGCGCCCAAGTCTGAACACGCCCGGCCTCCTTCCCTCACCGGAGTAGAAAGTTTAGGGAAGCTGTTGGAAAATGGTTTCTAGTTGGAATACCCAGAGTCGTGGAAAGATGGGGCCTAGAGATATAAGGAAACCTATTACAAATGTATCTAGTGCAGTGCTCTAGTCTTTCAGGGGAATCTGAGCGAGGACATCGATGGCGGAGTGAGGACTCCTGGCTCCTAGCCCACTGTTCTTTCCACTAAGTCATCTCCAGAAAAAATGCTTCAAAAAGGAAAAGGTCCCGCGATGTTAAGTTGTAAGGAGATGAGGAAAATGGAGAGACTGCCACATGACTACAAAAGCAGTATTATTTGGGGAAAATGGAGCCATATCATGAAGAGTGGGAGTGCTAAAATAAGGAACTCTGAAGCTTGAAAAAAGTAGTAAAAGGAAAAATGAGAGCAAATAGGTAGTTACCTTGTAATCCCAAGAGATTTATCTTTTTAAAGATCCAGTAAAGGTTAAGATAAGTACATTGGAATTTTATTATATTAGATGTTTAAGCAGTGTCCAGAATCTTTTGACATCACATAACTATACTATAGTCCTTACCAAAGTTATTAGGTATCTCTATTGGAGACAGTATAAAACTGATGTAATTACTAATATGACATTATATTCTCATGTTCCCATGGGAAATTAGATTATTGGAATAATATATGCATTTCTGGAACAGAAGGAAGGAAAGACATGGATGAAAGAAGAGAACCTTTTGATATTTTTGCTTGGATCCCCAAATTAGACGTTGTTGGATTGTTCTTGTATATTCATGAAAAGTAGAATTAGAAATACTGTAGTAACGACTTACAATACATAGACATTATTATATACCAGATGCTGTACTAAATGCTTTTTTATGTCCATTATCTCATTTCATTATCTCCTTTTTACAACTGAGGAATCTGACACAAAGAGTTTAAGCTTGCCCAAAGTTGTAAACCTAGTAAGTGGTCAGTGTTCAAACTTACATCTGGCTGACTCCAAAGCCAATAAGATTTATGCTCAATAGTGTCCTCACAGACAGCTGAACAATATGGGCTTGAACTGTGCAGTTTCATGTATATGGAATTTTTATAAAATGACTGCAGTTCAATTGACCCTCATAGTTTAAACTCCACGTTTGGGAATCCGAGTATGTGAAGGGCTTTTGCAGATTTTGGACAGTGTGGGAGGTCTACGCCCCTACCGCCAGTTGTTCAAGGTCAGCTGTACTGAATTGTGTAGTGATTTAAAATGTGGGCTTTGGATCCAGTCTTTCCTGACTGGACTAGCTTGGATAAAGTACTCATCAGTTCTGTGTCTCTGAAGTAGTGACTGTAATAGTACCTATCTCAGAGGGTTATTAGGATTGAGTTAACACATGTAACTTACATGATGTGCTTACAGCTGTGCTGAGACATTGAAAGTTCTCAGGAAATGCTGGCTGTTCATTGTTTTTTAAAATATTATAATTTAATTTATTTCAAGATACTGTTTTCTTTAGATCCAGATTGTCCATTCCACTGTTGAAGTGTTAAGGCTTTATGATAAATTGTTATAGGTATAAAGTAAAGTATCTCTGTTCATACTAAAACAGGTGGAGCCAGTACAAGTTTGGAAAGCACTGAGGTGCAGTGGGAAGATGTGTGACCGGGGCCAGTGGATTTGGTTTCAGTTGTCTCTGTTAGTATATTCCTATTTGTTTCATAAAGAAGGTTGTAAGGATCAGATGAAGTAACAAATGTGAACGAAATTTGAATTGTATGCTATACAGATGTAAAATACTGTTATTAAAATTATAGAGGTAAGCCCAGCTGGCATGGCTCAGTGGTTGAGCATTGACCTATGAACCAGGAGGTCACAGTTCAATTCCTGGTCAGGGCACATGCCTGGGTTGCAGGCTCGATCCCCAGTAGGGGGCATGCAGGAGGCAACCAATCTCATCATTGATGTTTCTCTCTCTCTCTCCCTCTTCCTTCCTCACTGAAATCAATAAAAATATATTTTTTTAAAAATTATAGAGGTAAGTGAAAATTCCCACCCCACTGTAAGCCAGCAGAGACAGATTCTAGGATATAGGCCTGAGAATCTAGAACCACTGGCTTAAACCATTTATTTCATATTATTACTTAAATTTACTTATCTTTTCGCCCTGGCTGGGTGGCTCAGTTGGTTGGAGCGTCGTCTCATACCCCAAAAAGTTGCAGGTTCAATTACCGGTCAGGGCACAGACCTAGGTTGTGGGTTTGATCCCTGGTTGGGACACATATAGGAAGCAACTGATAAATATTCTCACATCAATGTTTCTCTCACCTGCCCCCTTCCTCTCCTTCTAAAAATTCAATAGACATACCCTCAGTGAAGCTTTAAAAAAATTTCCTTATAATTTTTTTCATATATCCCCACCTAACCAGTGTGTGAACTTAGGACCAGCTCTGGAAAGTGTTCCTCAGTCCTTTGTGTCCCTCCAAACCGTGCTAGTGCCTTCACACAGCAGATGTTTGGTAAACGTATGATGACTGTATATATACTAATTTGCTGATAATCTGAAGTTACCAAACACTTCTCTCTAATTTTGAGAGATTAAAAAATAAACCTAGCTGATACAAGTGCTTAGTCATACAAGAGATTCGTTAGAAAGCTGTGTAGTTTTTAGTTTTAAAACTACAGGTTTGGTTTACAGAAATAACATGTTTGTTATTTGTAAATGTTTGGAATTAAGAGTTAATGGTAGTATCATAACTGTTTTGTTACTTCTGCAAGTGGATGTATTCAGAATCCAGTACTTATTCTCTATAAAAATACAAATACCCAGAGATGTAAATAGAGGGTTGTTGGTGTTGGAATTGAGAAGAGGGATGATGTGGTAGCTAGGTATTAATGCAAGAAAAGAGAAACAAGCAGAGATTTAAAAAATAACGTTTTCAAATATTTTTACAAGCTTGAAACTAGTTTTAAATATATAAATAGTAATAATAACAGCTAACACTTTTTCAGTGTTTACCATATGCCAGAGACTGCTTTATTTGAAGTCTTTATAATTTTTAAAATAGTTCTCCCAAATAGATACTCTTATTATTTTCAATTTACAGGTAAGAAAAATGAGGCTCAAAGAAGTTAGTCATGTGCCCAGATTCACACAGCTAGAAAGTGGTGGAATTAAGAGCCAACCTAGGTGATCTGGTCCCAGAGCACTTGCTGGTAAATATGGGAGGCAGGGTAGCTTACGGTTAAATATAGCTTCCCTTCTAGTAACGCAAATGGAAAAACATTTATAGCATCAGTTGTTTGAGAAGAAAAAGAAACGAGAGAAAGGGGGTAGGAGAAGGGGAGTGATCTTCACTCAGGGTTGATTATACAGATGCTTAGGCTCACAGGGAGAGGAGGTAAGGAAGGCATGTGGTAACCTTGACTGGTATTCAAGAAATGCAGTACCATGAGTTCTTTTTCTGCAGAGAAAAAAGTCTGCATAGCTGCGATATTAATCTAGAAATATAATTTATCTTTAAAGTATATATTGTATGTAAGTTATTAATATAGGTGAAGTAAATTTACATTTTACTTCTTGAATTAAAATGTTGATTAAATGCTGTCTTTAACAGTAAATATAAAAATTTCTCTAGTATTAATAGTTTCAATTATCCACACATATTTTTTTAACATTTCACTGGAATGAGTTATGACAGTAATATTTTTAAGTAAAGCAAATTTTTACTTCCATATAGTAAGAGTTAGAACAAACAGAGCTGCATTCTGGGTCATAAACTATTACATGGAATCTGAATGTGTACAGTTGCCATCTCCATTAAATTTAATGTTCTAGGAGAGTTATCACAAGAATTCTAAAACTGTTAAAGCTGGTGTTACTCATTGCAAAAGGAAAGTATAAATGAGTAGTTAAGATATAATTTTAAAGATTAGAAGAAAAAATTTCTCTATTGTCAACTTAAAACTTAGAACTTCTAGATAAGTGACATAGAAAAATGATGGGAAGATGTTAAATTACAATTATGCATGACATTGACACAGAAATATATGGCTCAGTGGAACAGAGTTTAAAAACCAGAGTAAGCATATATTATGTGTTAGTGTTTGAGAAAATTGACATCTCAACCACTGTGGATGGGGGGGGGGGGGTGGACTCTTCAGAATATATTGTTAAAGCAGTTAGTTGATTAACCTTTTAATTTTGTGAGATCTTTACCTCATGCTAAATGCCAAAATAAACTCTATATGGGTTAAAGTTTAAATTTTTAAAAAGTAACTATGAAGTGCATTGACTTAAATTTGATACAACCATATAATGGAATATTATGTACCGTTGAAAATGATGTAAGACTGTGATTATTGACATACAACCATGTTCATTGTATGCTGAGAATACAAAATAGTATTTATAGCAGAATTTCAAATTGCAAAAATAAAAGAAATATATGTGTTTATTTATATTTAGAAGGTCAGGAAGAGGAGTTAAGATTGATTTTTGTCTTTTCAGTGTTTTCTGCCTGGAACAAGGAGCATTTTACCACCCCAGTGCAAGATTATCATTTGTCCTTGTGGTTTAAAATTTGACAGCAGTAAAAAAGCTAAAGAATAGACAGTTTGGTAGGAGAAGAGAAAGAATATGACATTTTCCTGAGGGAAGAATAGAAAGACACAGAAAGTCAGGTGCAAGTGAAAAGTTAGGCAACTGAGGCAAAAAATAATTCAAAAGAACTCCAAAAGCAATACAGTGTGTAATTTCATCGAATCAAAATGAGAAAGATAGCTGAAGTCAGGGAAACCATACAATAGTCAGAACATAAAAAATATATTCAAAAGTGGAGGAGGAGCGTGATGAGTCAAATAAATGCTAAGTAATCATACAAGGGAGATTCACATACCCAGGTTCATCTCATGTCTTTATATAGCTTTTTGAGGGCTTTTCCATATATTCTATTTGAGAAAGGATTGTCTAACTTTGTAGTGGTAGATATCCCATTTTTATGCTTAAAACACTGAAGTTTAAAGGACATTTTCTTGGTGACATGGCTAGTTAATAACAAAGCCAAAGCCAGAACCTGCTTTGCTTCAGTCTGCTGGGTGGCCCTGTCATCATATCTTGTCGTCTCACAGACTTTCATGGAGATGTGAGCATGTCATGGGAAACATCCAGTGATTCTGATCAAGCCTGATACACTTGATGGGAATAAATCACTGCTGTTACCTAAGATCCACCTGGCGTGGGCTTTTTCCCCACCCACTCAAAACTTCTAAGGCTTTCAAGGGTGGAATTTTGGAAGTATGCCGAAAATGAACGGCTTTTTAAATGACCACATTAGAATGAGATAATATTTCACTTATCAGATTAGCAAAAATAAGGAAGACTGAAACATAGCAAGAATTCTGGAGAGTGAATATTTCATGCTACTGGAAGAAGTGTAAATTGGTGTATTTATAAAGGATAAGATGGTAGTATATATACCTTTTTCCATAGAAATTTTATTTCTAGTTTATTCCAAGGATATAATAGGGTAGATGCCCAAAAATATGCATGCAAAGGTTTCACCACAGCGCTGTTGATTTTTAAAGTATTTATATCTTTCTATGTTGACTGAATTTTTTTTCTGTTAGCACACATTGCTTTTATAAGCAGGAAAAAAAAAGCAGCTATTTTTATGTATGGAAAAATAAAACCATCTATCACAGGATTCTGGTATCACTACCATAACTCCTCCTTGATAAGAACTTCAGCAATAATGACCCTGGAAACTACTGGTTTTCTCTTTCATATCTGACAGTAGAAGGATTAAGTCCTACAATCAATAAGGCAAGATGGTTTGGGGGAAGCAGTGGGATTGGTTGGAAAAAATATAATAATCCAAGGACCTAAGTTTCGAATCTATCTTTGCCTCTTAGCTAGTGTGATTTGGGGCAAGTTGCTAAACCTCTCTAAAGCCCCCCCCCCCCCCCCCAGCAGTAAAGGGAAGATAATGAAAATATCTCTCCTGGGGTAGTTTTAGTAACAAATACTATTAGGTTTGTAAGAGATCTTTGCAGATTCTGTGGTTCAGGAACAATAACAACAATCAACATTTATTGAGTGCTATATACCAGGCATCATACTGAGCACTTCAAATGTATTAACTCATTTAATTCTTATAACAACTGGTGTGGTTTATCCTCTCTTACAAGTGAGCAGGTTGAGACACAGAGAGACTTAGGAACCTGCCCGGGGCCAGGGTTATAAAAGGTAGAGCCATAATGGAAGATCAGACTTGGGGAGAAATGTAGCAAGAAATCTGTAAGAAGTAGTTACATCTCACCATTCTGCCAGAGTTCTTTGAGGAAGACGGCAAGTATGTGGGAAGGGAGGACCCAGTGGAAATAACTTACTTACAAGGGTTTCTCTCTTTACAGAGTCAAACAGCTAAATTATTACAGGTTTGGGGATATAAAATAGGAAAGCTCCAAGACTTAAAAATGTTAAGAATAAAGTCTGTATGGGCTTAATCCTGGAGTGGTCCTACTCAGTACTTTCAGAAATAATCTGGAAAAAGGAAAATCAGAAGCCTTAAATAGTCAGAAGACAGAATTTCTTCTGAGACTGGAACATTAGGGCTACATATGCAAAGGGAGAGAATAGAAACATGACAGAAGCATCAGCAGAGTTGATTTAAAATATATATATAGATCTCACATAGATGTTTCTCTTTGTCTCTCCTCCTCCCTTCCACTCTCTCTAAAAATCAATGGAAAAATATCCTCGGGTGAGGATTAACAAAAATAATAATAATAATAATAATACATACATATATATATATATATATATATATATAGAGAGAGAGAGAGAGAGAGAGAGAGAGAGAGAGAGAGAGTTAAGTAGATGTAAATATTTAAACACACGCACCCAGAGTACATTTTGAAGATGGTAGCCTCTTAGCCCTCAGTCAGTAGTATCCTAGGAGGTGATGATGTAGACATTTTAATTGTATTCCATCACCTCTGTGGTCTCTCCCTCTATTTTCACCAACTCTTTTAACCAGAAATCCTGGGTATCACCAGAGAATATATGTGAAGCAAAATGGAATCTGTTCACTTCTGATAGAAAGCATTAGCAGGGTTCTCATTGCTCTGCATAATGGAATTAGACCAAAGTCAAAGGCCATTAGAGTAGTAAAAGAAATGTAGTTGTTTTCACATAACACCAGACTAAAAGGAGTAGGATTTGTATCTGAAATGAAGAATTGGCAAAGATATAATTACTTTCTGAATTTAATTATGAATTATAGATGAAGGGTGGGTGTTTATTTACCAATTTCTATGCATCTACCACATCTTCATCACTGAGCTCTGACAGAGGAGACATGATCCTGACGTAAAAGATCAGATGCGGTACCATTAACAGTCTGAAAGCATAATGCTTTTGAAATGCATCCATGTTAAATTTAATTGTCCCCAACCCCATTCCATCTGGATTTTTAAAATCTGAATAGTTCAATGGCAAGCTATTGAACTTAATGGAACAGTGATCTGATTATCTTCTCCAGAAATAATTAGAGGAAATTGCAAGTTCCACACTTGTTATCTAGAGATTATTTTGGATTAATACTCAAGATGACAGTGTTCTAGAGAAAAAACAGTGTGTCCTGTTTTTAGGTGCAAGGAATATGTGGAGATAATTCCACTATCAAAGATTGTATGTAAATTTTCCAAGGTGGGGAGATTATGATGCTAAATGTCTTGCTGTTTCAGATCAGCAAAATCAAGACTTAACAAAATGTGGGCCTTCATAGGAGGCCTGTGAAGTAAATAATAAGTATATTTGTGCAGCTCTTCATAGTATATAAAATGCTTTTATGTGAGATATGGAGGTGAAGCTTGAGCTCGCTTGCTTCTTAGCTATATGGTTTCATTCATATATTTCTAACTCCTAGTTGTGTTCTGAAGCAGTCTCTTCAGTTACTGTTAGGTGTGCCAGGGGTGTCATAATCCTTTGCTTCTTGTATTTGACTTTTAGGGCTGTTGGCCAAACATAGTGTTGTAGCAATAGAGAACTGTATTGTTGAAGTACTTTGCTTATTTCTTTTCTTTTTCCCCCTCTTTTTTCTTTTTCCCTTAGATATGTTCTGAGGACCAAGATTCATTTGGGGATGGTTACAGAATTGAACCGTAGTAGGCAATGAAAATATATATTCAGAGTTGAGTAAAACATCCTGCTGGAAGGAAAACACACCCCTACTATTAAGTTTAAATTGGCTGCACTGTTGTATGTTGAACAATTTGGTGTTAGCTGTTTACTTTTTAGGTTTCATAGGTTAAGAGAGTTTTGTTCGGTCATGCTAGGATGATAGAGGAATTCATTCATAGGGACTTTGGGAAATGTACATTAGGATTAGGCTATTTTTTAAAGCATTAGTCCTGAGACAGTTTCTTGAAAAACTGAGTTCTGAAACCAAATCCAGTTGGGAAAATTGAAAACTGGACCCTGACTTGGAGTTTCATAGTACACTCTGATCTTGTTCTTTGAAGCACTGTTTGTACAGGTAATAGTTAAGTAAGGTTATCTTAAATATTCATAGGTAGACAAGGCTCATAGAATATTATATAGCAGTTGAAAGGGGCATGAACTAGATCATGATCTTCCAACATGAATGGATCTCAAGAACGTTAATTTAGAGAAATATTACAGAATATACGAAATTGCGCAGCCCCACCGTGCTCGCAGCCCCACCCACCTGTGCTGGTCTTTGGTCGTTAGGGCCACAGGCCTTTTATAATAAAGATGGGAGATGCATATAGAATATAGTTTGTTTTTTAAAAGCAGCATGCTTTTAACAGTATATCTGTGTGATAGGAATATATTTTTATAAAGTCTAAAAGGGTTCATACCAACCAGGTATAGTCACTTGGAGAAGTGACTAGGGTTGGAGATGATGATCAAAGGGTCCTTTTTAAGAAAGAAAATATTCATGTATTATTTATAATAAAAATGAACTAAATACAAATAAAATGCTTGTTAATGCTCAACAAGTTACTTTCTTTTCCCTCATTGGAGATATCTACCCTGCTAATTCCAAATATCTATAATAATAAAAGTGTAATATGCAAATTGACCGAATGGCCAAACAGCGGAACGACCGTCCAGATGACCTTCCGGACATAGCCGGGGCTGCGAGGGTCGAGGAGGCCGGGGCTGGATGCGAGAGCCGAGACAGCTGGTGCTGTGAAGGCCTACTCTTGCATGAATTTCGTGCATTGGGCCTCTAGTATCTTTATATTCATTAATTGGCTGTATACAAGTTAAACTGAGTTTTGAGCTTCAGTACTATAAAATAGGAAGAAAGTATTTTCATTCTAGTCCATTACAATGAAATTATTTTTCACACATTATAAGGAATAAATGAAGTAACACATACAAGCAGTCTAGACTGCAAATTTTCAAGAGATAGGCTTATTCAAGCTTATATTTTGGTTCAAGAGATCTTTTGAGAGCAACAAAGAGAAGTTTGAACTTGGTTCTTGAGCAGTTAGTGAAGAGTTGAGAAGCAGCAGCTATAGGTTGAGTGAAACATTGTAATTCAAACCAGTTAAGCTTAAAGAAGCAAATCCTTTTTTGATCTTTCAATGTTGGTAAGAAATGTGCTTTCCAGTTCCATGGCTATTCTTTATTCTGTTCTGTAGACCTGATTTTGGCATCTTCCGAAGGGAACTTGAGGACAGTAGTGGTTCCGTTTGACTTACCAATCTCCAGGATAAATTTTAAGTGGCTGCATTTTTTGTGTGTAGATACGCTTTTTCTTTAAGAAAGGGTAATTCTGAAAAAGCTGTACCCACATATCAAGTTTTCATCTATTGATTTAATAGATGAAACATTCAGAACATTCATCTATTGATTTAATTTGCCTAATGTTATAAGAACCATTGTCTGAAAAGATTTCATCAACTAAAAGTATCTCTTCTTTAAAAGTTTGTTTTCAGGCACATGTATTGATTCATCTTTCCAAACTGGTCATTTTTATATTTCATTCAAGTTAAAACAAGGATTAACTGATCAATCAACATTATGCTAAAAAATGTATTAATACAAGCTATGAAAGGAATTTAATTCACATTACAAATATTTACTGGCACCTCTACATACTTGCGTGTGAGGGAAATTCAGAGTATTAAAACATGTTACTGCCCTTTGTGACCAGACTTCTTCCTAAATTGGTGTTAGCCTGCAATCCATATGCATAAAAATTGCTGGTGATGTACAATGATTCTTCCACCAAAACAAGTGGAAATTAGTAGAGTATAAACTGTGAAAGTACTGGGTAGGGTGAACTTCAGGAGTGTTTTCAGTAGTTGGACAGCCCCCAAGGAGAAGGGCTGCCAGGCATGACTACCTGGAGGAAAGGTATAAAGCCTCCTGTCTGACCTCTCCATTCTGCCTCATGCATGAATACCTTGCACATGGCATTCGCCAGTAGGTGTTATTCATGATGATAGTGCACTGCAGAGGGGGGAGTTAGCCTTGTGTCCAGTGACATCTTGGTGTAATTTTGAGGTGGGTCTTGGGGATTGAGCATAATTAACAGAAAGTGCGAGAACTTTTTTTAGTGCAGGTGACTTCTAGTTTCGGCTCTAATGCTAGCATTATCGTTGTGATTGTTTTGCATTTCTTTGTGCTTCACTGTTGCAGGAGTATGTCTGTCTCAATTTTTAAAAATATATGGCAGGTTTTCTTTAAGTGATCAATTGGACTCTTCCCCCCCTGTGTCACTGTAGTATAAATACCACCATTTAATATGTAGAATTGATCATGAATGTGGGCAAAGTCAGTGAGTGCATTCAATGTCTGTTTGTAGACAAAGCTTAACATTATTCTCTAATAACAGGTTTATCAACAGACCATTTAAATCAGCCAGTTCCTCTCAATATAAATCATAGAGATGTTTAAGATGTCATTTCTTCTCAGAACAAGAATGAGAGCTGCCTGTCAGTTCTCTAGTTTGGCTTTCATGCCATGGAAGTCCTTGGAAACCTGTTTTGAGAGAGTTCTAAATCATGCATATTCCTGTCTTGCAGGTTTTTTTCCTGATCAGGCGGACAGATCAGCATAGAGGCCAAGGATGAATGTTCATCGTGGCAGTGAGAGTGACAGGTTATTGCTGCAGGAGGCCAGCTGCCTAATGGATGAAACCTCGGCTGCAGCCCAAGAAAAAGAAACTAGTAGCCTGACTTCTTCTGGTCTTCAAAATCTTGCTTATCCGCTAACTCCCAGGAGTGATGGTACGGAGACTAGATATTGGCTTAATGTAGAGGGCCTTCTGACACCTGAGCATCCACTCTGCCCAGAAGACATAAATGTTCTTAATCTTTATAAATATGATATCCAGTTAATTGGCTTAGCTTACCTTTCACAATTATATAAAGCTAACCATAACAGAAAATCTCCACTTACTCAATCAATCTAGAACAGGGGTGGGCAAACTTTTTGACTCGAGGGCCACAATGGGTTCTTAAACTGGACCGGAGGGCCGGAACAAAAGCATGGATGGAGTGTTTGTGTGAACTAATATAAATTCAAAGTAAACATCATTACATAAAAGGGTACGGTCTTTTTTTTTTTTTTTTTAGTTTTATTCATTTCAAACGGGCCGGATCCGGCCTGCGGGCCGTAGTTTGCCCACGGCTGATCTAGAACATCTAACTTAGGCATAATGGTGTGAGAAAAACAGTCATGGGTTTGCAAGCAAAAGACCGGTTTAGATTCTAGCTCTGCTACCTATCAGCTGTAACCATGGGAAAGATTCTTAATCTTTCTGAGCCCTGCTTTCTTAACCTAGAAAACAAGGATATAACATTCTTCTGACTTCACAAGGCTAGAATATTAAAGTTAATGGATGCGAAGGGTCTTGTAAACCTTTTTCTTTTTTGGTTTTAGAGAGAGAGGAAGGGAGAGGTATAGAGAGACAGACATCGATGAGAAAGAAACTGATTGGCTGCCTCCTGTACACCCCCCACTGGGGCTGGAGCCTGCACCCGGGCATGTGCTCCATTGGGAATGGAGCCGGGGACTCCTGGTCCATGGGTCTATGCTCAACGATTGGCCATACCGACAGGGCTCTTTTTAACTCCTAAATAAAAACAGTAGCAACAATAATAGCAATTACCGCTTACTGAGCACTCACTGTACTAGGAATTTTACATCTCTCTATTTTATTTATTTATTTATTTATTTATTTAATATATTTTATTGATTTTTTTTTTACAGAGAGGAAGGGAGAGGGATAGAGAGTTAGAAACATCGATCCGCTGCCTCTTGCACACTCCCTACTGGGGATGTGCCTGCAACCAAGGTATGTGCCCTTGACCGGAATCGTACCCGGGACCCTTGCTCTATCCACTGAGCAAAACCGGTTAGGGCTACATACATCTCTTTAGATCAAGAGATCTAAAGGAAATGAAGGGTTGAGGGTTCAATTCCTGGCAAACTATGGTCAAATCTGCGCTGCTGCCTATTTTTGTCGATAAAATTTTGAAATACAGCCATCATGCCCATTTGTTTACATATTGTCTATGGCTGCTTTCTTGCTACAATGGTGGAGACTGACCCACTGAGCCTAAAATATTTACTTTTTGGGTCTTTACAGAAAGTTTGCCGATCCCTGCTTAGATTAGTCCTCCTTTTAAAAATGACGAAACGTGGGTAACTTTTGCTCGGGGTCACACTGCTCGGATGTGGGGACTGAGATTTGAACCTGTGTCTTTTGGATCAGGCTGTGCTATTGTAGATATATCAGCTGATGGACAAGCGGAGTCACTGCCCCCTAGAGTGCACCATTAGAGAGAAGTTGTGCAGTGAGTCTCTTTTCCTGCTCACCTGTTTAAGGATACTACCTGAGGCATCCTTCAGGAATCGACCTAATTTAATTGCTTCATTGCTGGGGGCAAATCAAGCTTTCTAGAGAACTGAATTAGTAATTTAGATGCCTACTTTCATTTTTAAGAACCTGCCAGTGTGAAAGTCTGTCTGGTGATTAAAGTGTTTCTTCCTACAAGCCTGCCTGTGGGTTGTGTGGGAACTTAGCTCTGGGTATGCAAAATCAGGGCCACATTGAAAATTTAAGTCCTGCAGAAGCTGTAGGATGTAAACCCTAAATTGGCTTTTGATCTAGATTTTGCTTTCCTTTTCTCCAGAAACAAGGTTGGGGGCATTAATCAGACTAATTCCCCAGAGGTCACGGGCAGTAATCATGTTCATGAAATATTGTATGCAAAGTTAGACTATAGGAAGGGTGGGATGAGAAATTCAGTTGTATCTATAATATTTTATTTCTTTCCAAAAAAGGTTTGAAGGAGAGAAAAATGTTAACTGAGCTTGCCAAATATAACTAATGGCATATACATGCGGTATTAACTCTATGCTTTGGTATATTTGAAATTTTTTATTAAGAATATTTTTTATATTAAAATATATTAGGAAAACTGCCTATTTAAGCATCCTCTAAGCCAGCCGTGGGCAAACTACAGCCCGTGGGCCAGATCCAGCCCGTTTGAAATGAATAAAACTAAAAAAAAAAGACCGTACCCTTTTATGTAATGATGTTTACTTTGAATTTATATTAGTTCACACAAACACTCCATCCATGCTTTTGTTCCGGCCCTCCGGTCCAGTTTAAGAACCCATTGTGGCCCTCGAGTCAAAAAGTTTGCCCACCCCTGCTCTAAGCCCTGGCCAGTGTGCTAAATGATTAGAGCGCCGACACAGGAAATGAAGGGTTTGAGGGTTCAATTCCTGGTCAAGGGCATGTACCTGGGTTGCAGGTTCACTCCCCATCCCAGATGGGCTGCATGCAAGAGGCAACCAGTCGATGTGTCTCCTCCTCCCCTCCTCTCAGTCACTCTCTCCCCTTCCCTTCCACTCGCTCTCTGAAAAGCAATGGGGGGAAAATATCCTCATGTGAGGATTAACAAAAAATAAAATAAATAAAAAATAAGAGCATCCTCTGGGAATCCTTTTGTAAATACTGGCTCCTTGCAGCCAGAACTATGAGAAATAATCTGTTAAGTCTCATTCCCTTTCTCCTGTGTACACCCAGAGTTCATTAATTCCAGTTTAAGTCTCTTGCATGATTCGGTATTGTTTGTTTTTAAGTGCTCTCACATTCTTTCAGTTGATAGTCCTGTGAGGTAGGTGGAATGAACGTTATTCTCATTTTGGAAATGACGAACCAGGTTTAGAAAAATAAATTACTTAAAGAAAATAGCTATTTGGTGATACAATAACTGAGCATGAATCCTAACCCAAGGCCATTCCCATGGGAATTTTGTATCTGATAGAAGACCTGCCTGTTCCGAAGTGGTGTTGGTGATGTTAGGATGCTCCTTTGCATAGTGAAAATGCGTTTTTCTGTGACTTCTAGGAAAAGTGATGCATTCGACAATAGACTCTGTCATTGTCTTTCTGGAAAATAGAATTTGGAAACATTTTTACAGAATGTAGAAAGAAAATGGTTTTGGCTAAAACCGGTTTGGCTCAGTGGATAGAGCGTCAGCCTGCGGACTGAAAGTTCCAGGGTTCGATTCCGGTCAAGGGCATGTACCTGGGTTGCGGGCACATCTCCAGTGGGAGATGTGCAGGAGGCGGCTGATTGATGTTTCTCTCTCATCGATGTTTCTGACTCTCTATCTCTCTCCCTTCCTCTCTGTAAAAAAATCAATAAAATATATTAAAAAAGAAAAGAAAAGAAAATGGTTTTGGCACACCAGCGGTAGCACAAATAAAACACAGCAAGTATAAGTATTATTTAGAGAAGTGAAAACAAAAGTAGAAAGTTATTGCCTCTGTGGAACAACACTGGGGCGGCCATGGAGTGTGGCAGGAGATTGCTGGTTTTCCACAGAAAGTTGTTCCTAATGTTTTAATTTTTTAAAACCATATCGAAGTTTACTTTTAAAGTTTTTAATCATTTTATTTTAAAATGTGGATATTACTGCCTTTATCCCTTCTCCCTACACACACATGTGCTTGGCATGAGTGGAAAAAAGCTCAGGGGAATCCAATGTAAGTCTCCTGTTATATTTTTTCTTTACTTGCTCTAGGCAAGAGTTTTTGCCTGTTTGCCTCTAAACATCTATGGGGGTTTTGTTTAAATTTTTATTGTTTTTTAAAGAAAACAGGGTTTATTTTTCCCCCAAGGCTTTTGCAATTGAGTTATTTTGGTTGGTTTGTATCTTTCAGACCTTTCACTGGACTATGCCTCTCAGCCAGCAAGCCTCCAGTTCCCTCACATAATGCCACTTCCCGAAGACAGCAAAGGCTCCTGCTTCCCAGGTGGGACTAAACGGAGCTATGAACCCTTTATTGCTCCAGAACGATTTGGAAACAGCACTATGGGCTTTGGCAGTAACGTTCATTCCCAGGCGCCAGAGAAAGTGACACTTCTCGTAGATGGCACACGTTTTGTGGTGAATCCACAAATTTTCACTGCTCACCCGGATACCATGTTGGGAAGGTAACTGATGATACTTCCCTTCTAAATGCACTCTGTTCTCTATGACTGGAATACCTGCTGTTTATCTTGCTTTAGATGTGAAAATGAAAAGCATTGCATTGCTGATTTTCTGCCTTCCTTCTTTGGTGAGATGGAGGGCAAGCTGGTACAAAACGTACATGTGTTGGTAATTTGGGGGGCTGGGTATTTTATTTATAAAGCCAGTATAGTGAACAAAAGAAGGGAGTGCAGCCAGAACTGTCAGAAATAATATGTTAAATCTCATTCCCTATTCCTCTATAAACTCACTCTGAAACAGAAGTCAGATACCTAATTTATTTTATTCACAATTCGCATAACCTCCCAAAAGCAATGTTTTTCTGAGTTCTACGAGTCAGAGATACTGGGATAAAGTGAGAGCTGTAAATTGAGTTCATCTTTCTTTCGTCTTTTGTCTTAATAAAAAAAATAGAATTAGACAAAAGTTTCACAGGACACAACAAAGTCGTTTCCCTGAAAAGCAGTATATTGCCTGCCATCTATTGCCAGTTCGGCTGAGAAATAGATGTTTTACTGTCGTTTTCTGATGCCTCCGTCACTGCTTGTTTTCTGACATCTGGCTTTTCTGTTGTTTCTTTATTCTTCATGTTTCATCCAGACTGTAGTCTTATCCTCCTCTCACTGCCCACTGCCCCAACTTTTCAGGATTGGAATGCAGGGGATGGAAAGAGCCTGCCCAAAGGAGCACTGCCCACAAGTGCTCTTGGAGCTTGGGCTGGAGGTTAGGAGATCCTCTTTCTGCAGTCATAGACCTTAACATGAGGAACAGCCAATGGGACAAGAGTAAAATAATAATAATAATGTGTGTGTACACACCTTTGACTTTTAAGGGTTTTTATCTACTTAGAAGTAGATGTTATTTAAAGATCTAACCTCACTCAGGACATTGAACTAATTTGAACCAAATTAGAAATCAGAGGAAAATCACTAATTTTACTGAATCTTAGGCCAAATGGGATCCAGCTATTCAAATATGTGTCTACTTGAACATATACATACAAATTCATGATGAGCCATTTTTAACCAAAACCAAACCTATATATTTCTCAAACATCTGAATTAAGATTAAATGAGAACATTAAATTATTTTCTAAGTTGGCCCTGTATTTAATCAGACTTGACTTCCTGTGCTCAGTCTTGGTGTCACCACCAGTAATGTCCCGCCGCCAGCCGCCCCCCCCGCAGTGTTCCTGAGTTCCTCAGGGCAGTCTGGCTGAGGTAGGTTTCCTCTGAAGATGGTGATAGAGAGAAGAAGGCAAGCATTATCTGGGCAATAGATCCTTGGCTAACAGTGGTTCTTTAAATCTAGGAAAGGGTTGTCCACGAAGAAGAGAGTCTGATTTCTTTATCTAAATGGTTCATCAGCTGAGTGCCAAGTCATGAGTTCTGAGAGTTACTTAGGTTTGCTGTCCTGTGGCTGCATAACAGTACTCAGAAGCCCAGCCATTGAGCTTACAGAGGTGGACCGCTAGCCACAGAGGGGACAAGTTGAGAGATCAAGAATGGACAAATGCAAATCCATGCCACTATGGAGAACTAGGTCCTGCTGATGGTAGGGGGATCATACTGCATTTGTTCACTATTTTGACTCATAGCTGTCTCAGCTAGATGTTAGCCAGAATGTTCCAGAAAAATGTTAGCATTCTTTGAAGACAGTTTTTACCAGGATGGATTTCTTATGTATGGTCTAGTGATTTGGAAAGCATGTGGAATAGAGTCTTTTTCAGACCTTTAAAAGTAGCCAGTTCAGAGTGGAAGCAAAGGGTTTTGAGCAGTTGAGCAGCAGGACTTCCCAGCAGGTTAAGGAAGGAAACGGCAGTGCATCCCCACTGAGAACTCAAGTCAGGCTGCTGCAGCTAGCAGCTATCTGCCCGCCCTTCGTGCTCACTTCCCATCCCACATGCAGCAGGAGTCATAAGTCTTGGGGCCAGTTTTCCTGGAGGGTATCTGAGAGGAGGAGGAAGAATGGGAAAAGGTGAATCAGAAAAGCAACCTCCTCCTCGGACCCTCATGACCTCTGAGTTCATGCCCAGCACAGGCCTGCCTCTCTGATATACGTCAGACTGCTGATGAGCCTAACACAGTGATGGTGAACCTATGACATGCGTATCAGAGGTGACACGCGAACTCATTTTTTTGGTTGATTTTTCTTTGTTAAATGGCATTTAAATATATAAAATAAATATCAAAAATATAAGTCTTTGTTTTACTATGGTTGCAAATATAAAAAAATTTCTATATGTGACACGGCACCAGAGTTAAGTTAGGGTTTTTCAAAATGCTGACACGCCGAGCTCAAAAGGTTCGCCATCACTGGCCTAACACCTACCCTCCTTTTCTACTTGACCTGAAATTCCCATAGTTAGTTACTCCTTGGCTTGAAGAAGGGCATTTTCCCCCCAGAGCTCCACCATTGAAACGTACCAGGAAAGGGAAAGCATTAACATATCTGTACCTGTTAATACAGATTCATCTGTCAGATTAGAGGTTGAAAGCAGAACTCAGGAATATTGAGAATTGGCATCCCGGGTAGGTAAATGCTGATAGAGGAGGGAAAGGGATAGGAAAGGCCAGGAGCATGAGACCCTGTGTCTCTGAGCTACCTGGCACATACACAGGCAGATTCCCGGCAGTGGGGAGCGCAGGAGAGGCAGCCCTCACGCTGACATGCTCCCAGGGCTTGCTTCCCTGCCCCTGTCACAGGAGCTCGCCACAGCTGAGCCTGGCGGACTTGCTGCTTTGTGCCCCTCGCTGAAAGCCACGCTGCCTTCTTTCCAGTCTGAAGGGCATTGCCTAAGACTGGACTGCGTCGTGGGGGCGGGGCCCCAGTGCTCTGTTACCTTACACTAGGCGAGAGTGAGAATCCTGCCGGAGAAGGTCACATTGTTGCCTGGTGTCTTTCAGGATGTTTGGACCAGGAAGAGAATACAACTTCACACGGCCCAACGAGAAGGGGGAGTATGAGATTGCCGAAGGAATCAGTGCGACTGTCTTTCGAACGGTGCTGGTGCGCAGTAGTCTTTTCCTTATAGCCTCTTCCATGGGCCCGCTTGATCAGAAGTCCTGAGAGTCCACCAGGCTGTGGTACTGACCTTAGGTCTCTAGTTTGCAGTGGCTGACTTTCCCACTTTACTTTTTATTCCTGTAACTTAAGTATTCTTGCTGTATGAGCTCAATCAGGTATCAAGTTGTGATTTACCATGTCAGGACATCCAGGAGCCACTTGGCCATTTAGTGAGTCAACCAACTTGGTGACAATGCTAGTAACCCATCACTTTACAGAACCAGCAGTGAATAGGTGTTGAAGAGGTAATTTTTCATCTTATTCTTTACCTACATTTCTTCCTCCTAATCTATTTACAGGATTATTACAAAACTGGTATCATCAATTGTCCTGATGGCATCTCTATCCCAGACCTCAGAGATACGTGTGATTATCTCTGCATTAACTTTGACTTCAACACTATCCGATGTCAAGATCTGAGTAAGTACAGGGGCAGCTGAACTTAGTTTGCCTGGAATTGAGTGGCATTTTTTACTGCTAACCAGAGATTCTCCCGTTTGGGCTGAGAATCATCTGCAGAGGCAGAGGGGAGCTGCTATCCCGTTCCCTCTCTCGCTTCAAAGCATTTTGAGGACGTGCAGTAAACAAGAGAATGTGCAGTGAGCTGTAACCTAGCTTGGCCCATGAGTTACCAAGCTAATTCCTTCCCCTCTTGGTGTCTCAACCTTTTTAACAAATAAGGGTACTGATTCTCAGATCTATGGGAAGTCTCACTAGGAAAGTTAAACAGCATAAATTGGCTGGGTTCTTAACAATTATATTTATCATTAGTATTAACTTAGTGTTTGTTAAGTGCTTTATAGATGTGAACTTGGTATAAATCCTATATTAATCCTAAAAGATGGGTGATAACCTCATTTAACAAATGAGACTGAGAAGTTAGCTTGTTTAAAGCTCTAAGCATTAAAAGCTGAAATTAGAACTGATTGTGTGACTACAAACTGCAGGCTCTTATCATTACCCACTAGGTTCCCTGAAATTATTTTTAAATTGTTCTTTGAAGTTCATGATACATTTCCCTGCAGACTCCATGAAGTTCTCTGGACTTGTGAATTTTCTACTGGGCCTAGTACAGGGACAGGGGTGGGCAAACTTTTTGACTCGAGGGCCACAATGGGTTCTTAAACTGGACCGGAGGGCCAGAACAAAAGCATGGATGGAGTGTTTGTGTGAACTAATATAAATTCAAAGTAAACACCATTACATTAAAGGGTACGGTCTTTTTTTTTTTTTTTTTAGTTTTATTCATTTCAAACGGGCCGGATCCGGCCTGCAGCCGTAGTTTGCCCACGGCTGGTCTAGTATATACTTAGAGCAGCGGTTCTCAACCTGTGGGTCACGACCTCTTTGGTGGTCAAACGAAACACGCTGCCCAGGGGTCACCTAAGACCATGCTGCATATCAGATATTTACATTATGATTCATAACAGTAGCAACATTACAGTTATGAAGTAGCAACGAAAATAATTTTATGGTTGGGTCACAGCATGAGGAACTGTATTTAAAGGGCCAGAAGGTTGAGAACCACTGACTTAGAGCAAGTCCCGTGGTGTCTCCAAACTTCAGATTCTTCTTCTTCTGTGTACTCTTAACTCCATGAAATTGGGGTCTAGAGGATCTTCAGAAGCAGTACTACAGAGTCATCCCCGAATGATGGTTCTATATCTTGTAGAATTATGTTTATGATATGATACTGTATGTTCAACAAAACCTCCATTTATCAGAATGCTCAGGGATTATTAAGCACTAGAGGCCCAGTGCACGAAATTGATGCACGGGTTGGGAGGTCCCCCCCTTAGCTCAGTCTGCACCCTCTCCAATCTGGGACCCCTTGGGGGATGTCCAACTGCCGGTTTAGGCCCAATGCCGGCCTGATTGCCCCTCACTGCCTCTACGTGCTGGCCTGATCACCCCTAACTGCCCCCCCCCCTTGCCGGCCTGGTCACACCTAACTGCCCCCCTCTGCCAGCCTGGTCACCCCCAACTGCCCCCTTCTCTCAGCCTGGTCGCCCCCAATTGCTCCCTTCTCTCAGCCTGGTCACCCCCAACTGCCCCCTTCTCTCAGCCTGGTCACCCCCAACTGCCCCCTTCTCTCAGCCTGGTTGCCCCCAACTGTCTCTCCCCCCCGCACACCCTGCTGGCCTGGTCGCCCCTCACAGCGCCCCCGCCGGTCGCCCCACTCAGCCTGCTGTTCAGTTGTTTGGTCATCCCTCACTGACCCCCCTGCCGGCCTGGTCATAGGCAGCCATCTTGTGAGGGTGTGAGGGTTAATTTGCATATGACCTCTTTATTATATAGGATTATTATATAGGATGAGTAAAGGAAGCATGGTAGAATGTGAAATACATCTAACAAAATCAGCTTAATTACCACCTTGAAGTAGGAAACAATCTCTGCCTTCAAATGGGTCACTTCTCTGGACCCTATCAATGGTAACAGCGATTACCCGATCATCTTTTTCACTCCAGTAACATGCACTTGGGCAGAGCGGATGCTCACCTACAGTTTCTCTCCCCAGGTGCTTTATTGCATGAACTGTCCAATGACGGTGCTCACAAGCAGTTTGATCACTACCTCGAAGAACTGATCCTGCCCATCATGGTGGGCTGTGCCAAGAAAGGGGAGCGAGAGTGCCACATCGTTGTGCTGACAGATGAGGATTCTGTGGACTGGGATGAAGACCACCCCCCACCCATGGGAGAGGAATATTCCCAAAGTAGGGGCCACCTGCATGATGCAGATGTTTTTTGCAAGAAACACGCTACCCACAATAGCAGCTAGATGCCAGAACCAGCGTGAATATCACTGTGAGCCAGTGATGAGCACACTCACCTGGAAGATCAGTTCAGTGTAGTGACGCAGGTCTGACTGTTACGCTGTGGAACATAGTGAATGTTATACCTTCCCTGCTGCTGGTGCCTGATACTGTGTCAGTTCTGAGGCAGCCTGTTAAATGGTGGCGTCATTCTCCCATTTTTAAATCCTTTTGAATTGATAACACAGAATTCAAGAAGTACATAAGGATGCACATTGAGAAGTCTTGTTCCCACCTCTGCCTCATCTATCCAGTTTTCCTCCTCAGTCAGTTTCTTCCAGACATTTTCAGTGCACATAAATAAGCACTTTTTTCCTTTCTTTCAAATGATATCATGTAGAATATAGACTATTCTATACAATTTCTTATATTAAAAGCCTCCATGCTCTTATTTATAGCTGTATAGTATTCCATTGCATGATTGTCATAATTGATTTAACCAGCCCTGTTGATGGACATTTAAGCTATAAATTATAAATGATGCTGCAGTGAATAGCTATTTATTTATTTGAATTTTTATGAGTTTATTTGAGTCAAAGTGAAGGCATATGCCAGGGAACAAGATTTCAAATGCTCCGTGAATATCCTTTTTATTAACACAATCTTTTCACAACGTGCAGATCTCTGTAGAATAATATTCCTAGAAATGAAATTTCTGTCAAAAGCTTTGCGCTTTTATAATTTTGATACATGTTGGCAAATTATCCTCCATAAAGTTTGAGTCAACTTATACTCACAAAACATAGGAAGGTTTGTTTTCTGCACAGTGTTTCACTAAAGTTTTATATTTGCTATTTGAGTTTTGGTTTTCATTTCTCATTTTATGAATGAGATTGACCATCTTAATTTTTAAGAGCCATTTTAATTTTCCTTTTCTAAACTATTTTTTCCTTCAGCCCATTGCAAAATTGGATTGTTAGTCTTTTACTTAGAGATTTGTGTAAGCTCTCTATTTGTGACCTCTATTAAGGAAGTTAGCTCTTTGTAATATGAGTTGCAAATATTTCAGGTGATTGTCTTTTTAGCTTTAATAGTTGTTTTGACTAAGTAGAGATGTATTTTTATATAGTTGAGTGTATCAACTTTTCTTTTATGGCTTCTAGGTTTTATGTCCTACCCAGAAAGGCCTTCCATATCCTATTTAACGTTTAATTTGTGATCCACCTGATTTTTTTTTTTGGCATCAGGGCCAAAAGAAATATAACTTTTATTAGTCTGATTCTGTTAGCTCATCTCCTTCCTCTTCTGGAGTCTTTGCTCCATAACTAACCCCAGATCTTTTATTTTTTATTTTTCCCACAGTTCTTTATAGTTCCAAGCTCTACAGATTCTTCAAGTACATTGAGAATCGGGATGTTGCTAAAACAGTGTTAAAGGAACGGGGCCTGAAAAACATTCGCATTGGAATTGAAGGTAAAAACATCCCAGTCAGTATTCAGCTTGCTTAGCTTATGGAGGTAGGCTGCAACTACGGTCATAGCTTATGTCCTGAAAACTTCCAGAGGACCCAGACAGTGGACACATGAAAACTACATTTCTACCCAGGTTTCAAGGATCTTTATTTTGTTTTGTCCTTATGTTTCCTTTTCACTTTATTTCCAGTTGAAAATGCTTTAAAGCAGCTGCAGGAATAAGTTCCAATTTCCTGCCTTGGCATAAAGAGAGCAGTGAGGACTAAGGCCTCTGGGGGGGTAAATGGAGCAGGTCTCGGGGGCTCACCGAGGGGAGAGCCACTCTGCCAGATCCTTGGTGAGGATCTTTCTGGGTCCTGGAAGGGTCCTTCTGAAAACTCTCCTGGAGGCTCTGAGTTTGTTCCATTATGTGCCCTTGAGAAGTGCCTGGACGTTGGCAGAGTTGCTTCAAATGATCTTGAGCAGTGACAGCCTCCCCACCTGTGGTCTCTGTGGAAGGTCTCAGAGACGGATTCCTGCTGAAGCTGTCCTGCTCTCCCTCCATGGGACTGGGACTCATGTTTTGCTTCTCTTACTGTCCCAGTCTTGCCCACGGAACCCATCAGGCCTTCATTGTGTCTGAATTAGGTTGGAATTTGAAGTTGGAAGAAATTTTTGAGATCTTCAATTAAACTTCTGTACTTCCCTTGTCTCTTTGGAAACCCCAGGAACAGGGTGGTAGGGATCACTCCATTTCCCACAGCAGCCCATCAGGTTGTGCCACCATCAGAACATTCTTCCACATAATAAGATTTCTCCCATTCCATGTGACAGCCTTTCAGATACTTTAGGCAGCATCCCAGTTTTTTCTTTAGGCTAAACATTCCACATTCCCTTAACTGGTTCTCATACAATGTGCCCTCTACGCAATAGAATTAGAGGACGGAGCAGTAGCCATGCCCTAGCAGGGTTTTCTTTTTTTTTAAACATATTTTATTGATTTTTTTACAGAGAGGAAGGGAGAGGGATAGAGAGTTAGAAACATCGATCAGCTGCCTCCTGCACACCCCTCACTGGGGATGTGCCCTCAACCAAGGTACATGCCCTTGACCGGAATCGAACCCGGGACCCTTCAGTCCGCAGGCCGACGCTCCATCCACTGAGCCAATCCAGTTAGGGCCCTAGCAGGGTTTTCATTCTGTAGTATTGCTGCCAGTAACTGAAGCAGGGGTGGCGAACCTTTTTTCTGCCAAAGGCCATTTGGATATTTATAACATCATTCGCTTAATATAAATGTATAATATAATTCACTTAATATAAATGTATGTTGCTATGAAAAAAAAACTCCTAGATTTATTGAATTTCAAGTCCTGCCTGCGGTTGCCTTGGCAGGACCATCCAAATGATTTTGCAGGCCTTCCATGGCTCACGGACCAGACATTCTGCACCCCTGAACTAAGGTGTCTGAAGTTAAGAAGAGGTTTTTCTCTCCCCTTTCCATTAGAAGGGATAGAATTTTTGTTATTTCCCTTCTAGGGATAAGACCGACTAACTGAGCAGGAGGGCAGAGAGCGTGTAGGTGATTGGGGCTGGGAGGACATGGTTAGAGGCTGGTCGCTTCCCCTGTAATTTTCATGGATTTGGGAGGAATTGATGTGAGGAAGTATGGAAGCCAGAGTAAGCATTTGCTGAAGTCATTAGAACGGTCTTTTTCTGTTTCAGGTTACCCTACCTGCAAAGAAAAAATTAAGAGAAGACCTGGTGGCCGATCTGAAGTCATCTATAATTATGTGCAGCGCCCTTTTATCCAGATGTCATGGGAAAAGGAAGAAGGAAAGAGTCGCCATGTGGACTTCCAGTGTGTTCGGAGCAAATCCCTCACTAATCTGGTAGCTGCTGGAGAAGATGTCTTGGAGGACCAGGAGATACTGATGCATCACCCGCCCCAAGTGGATGAACTTGACCGACTAAATGCCCCACTTTCTCAGATGGCTTCTAACGACTTTCAGGATTAGGGCCAGCTCTGGGTCCACCTCTCTGCGAAGCGTTTGGGCTGCCAAAAGCCAGTTCTCCCCATCCTTTCCCTTTCTCCCATAATTAACGTGCGTCCTTTTCAGTACATCTGCACCTCTGCGGGGGGTGAGAAAGCACTGGTAATGAAGCTCCCAGCCTGGCAGCAGCCCTGGTAACGTGAAATTTTAGGTCTGGTGCTGTTCACTGAGCCTTTGCATAACTGCAAAGCAGAAAAGCAAGTCAAGACTCCTGTTGCCTCATTCGGCAAAGCAGTTCTGATCCTTTATGCTGTGTCTTGGCTTTTGTGTGTGTTGTTTTATACCAGGCACATCGCTTAGCAGCGAAGGGACCAAACTTAAAGGAGACAATCTCTATCTTCTGCAAATAGCACTAATGGCATGCTCATTAGAGGTTGAAGAAGATGCCATTCCTAGTGGCATCTGTGCCCAGATTGCATCAGGGAAGAACGAGGCTCGTATTCAACATGTCTAAAAGGAAATTCGTAGGCGCTAAAATTCAGTTTTGTTTTTTCATTAAATGCAAGAACAATCCAAAACCACATGGATTCTGTCACAGGAAGGAAAGTGGCATCACAGTGTTGATGGAACCTTAGTGTCATGGTGTTTAGATTATTCATTTAGAAGGAAACTCAAGTAGAACCTCTCCAGGTGGGGCCACTCTGATTGCCCTGGCTTGGAATTGGTGAGAAGCCACCGGTCTTCACCCAGGAGCAGCATGTTGCTGTGGATGTGGATGGGCGACCTTGGATATGACTTAAAGGCTCCAGCTGTGAGCAGACATTTCTCACAAGAGCTCAGTTTCTCAGTCGGAAGACTTGTAAGAGCTCCAGTGAGGGGACGTGTGGGGGAAAGCTGGATGGGGAAGCATTACCTGCTCAGGCTTTGTCCCAGTATAGGATTCTTCTTTGTGCATTCTTTTCATACTTAGGGAATTTTTTTGGATACCAGGATATTTTCATTTTGAAATAGCCTATCAGCTGCTCACACTGAATAAGAAACCATACTAATATCATCCCCCAAGGAAGGATGAGTTGAAGGGAAGTGAGACCTAGTAATTGTTTGCTCTGTCACTGCGTGTCAATGCACAGCGACAACCAGATCACCCTCCCCAGCACTGAACCGCCTTCCCCCGTGTCCCCATGGCTAGAGCCGGATGTCATGGGATCATCTCCCCTTTTGCGCTACAGGCTGGCCTTCCAGTCACCTGCCCCAGGTATTTACTCATCACAACTTATAAAGAGGCACATAGTTTTCAAGTCCTTTAAGAGCATGACTGGCTTTCTTAAATCCCATTCCCATAAGATGCTATAGGGCAAGCTGCTTGATTCTGTTCTGACCATGCTAGTCACAGTCCTCCACGAGTGACGTCGGATGGGCGTTGAAAGCTGCTCTTTCCAGGCTTGAAGAGCAAGAATCTTACTAGTAAGAGTATTCTTTGCATGTGGTCAGCATCACAGTGGAAATCGATGCTCTATTTCTCTGAAAAGTAATCGGGGTTAAACTGAACCACCCCCCACCCCACCTGCAGAGTTCTGATTACCATGGCATCCATTTGTAAGGCTGATGGCCAGTGGTAGTTTTATTTCTGTGAAACTGTTGGCTCATATTGAGGTCAGGTCTGGCTATGACCTTACCAGGATACATTCATGCCCACTAGGAACCGACCAGCCCAGTATTGTTTAATGGTGCTTCCTTTACTTTTCAGTTGACTTCCATGTCATCACAAAGGACATTTGCATTGAGTGTGTAGTCTGTGGTATATGTATAACTTTCGTTACACAGCTAATGTATTGGTAATGTTTAGTAAGTGTCAACACGCTGCAGCTGATACTCTAGTCCTTGCTTAGTTGGAAAGCCACGTATGAAAGTATGGCATGTAGTGAACACTTCCTTCTATATCAGTGGTTCTCAACCTTCCTAATGCCGCGACCCTTTAATACAGTTCATGTTGTGGTGACCCCCAACCGTAAAATTATTTTCGTTGCTACTTCATAACTGTAATTTTGCTACTGTTATGAATCGTAATGTAAATATCTGATATGCTATATGTGTTTCCCAATGGTCGCGACCCACAGGTTGAGAACCGCTGTTCTATATGAATGATTAACTTATTCTGACTTTTAAGGACTATATCTTCTTTTCCCAAATTGGGTTAATGTGCTTTTGGCGCCAACCCCATGGACAGTCTGGGGAGGTAAATCTGCCACTGTCACCAGGTGGTGGTGACAGGAGGAAGCTGGCGCGGGAGGCTCTCCTGCATCCGCGCCCTCCCCGCCTGGAGCTCAGCATCACTGTCACTTGGTGGCTCCCCTCAGAGCTGCTGTTTCCAGGGCCAGGACATTCTGCTGTGGCAGGACCTCTCGGCTGGGTTGGCGTCATTCCCTTAAGAATCAGTTACTGGCCACCTGGGCAAGAGGTGTTTCTAATGCAAAGGGTAGGACTCAGGTCTGGTGTTTTTTCTAAGTGCCTAAATAAGTAAGCCAGGTGACTTACACAGAAGCATTTTCATAAGGAAATAGTTTTACCCAGACTGTCTTCGAGGTATCTCAGCAAGCCAAGATGAACCTGAATTTGAGGTTTAGAATCAGTTCATGTCTGCATCGTATCACATATTGTTGAGTAGGAAACATTTGCCATTGAGACTTGGAGAGTACTGGGCAAGGAACAGTGTTAAAATGTGGTGATATTAACAATTTCTCAGGCTGAAAAGAATGACAGCAAAAGGTAAAGAAGCTGGAAAGTATCTGGATTTACTGCACAATATACAATAGCCAATATTTTCAACTAAATTCCAAGAGAACGGGGTGATAATGCACACAGTCTAAGGAAATACTGTGGAATAAGCCCAGGAAGGAGGGCTCTACGTGCACAGTGTTCCGACAGATCCTGTGTAAGTAAAGCCAGTCAGAACGCAGGCTTTCATTCACACGGTCAAAGTGTGACATGGAGCCTTTTGTATCCAGTGAAAACAGAAAGTTAAGAAGGGGTTTGAGTATTTTATTTAATGTCATCATTTTGAAATTGTTAAAATGCATAGTGAGTTCAGAAAGCAGACCTGATGCCTTTGTGGGAGATGGAGCCACAGTCATGCTCTGGGTGGGACCACCACTGCAGGACATTTGCCTCTTTACTTTGTATTTAAAATTGCACATGTTTACCTACCAGTGTTTACGAAATCCTATATTTAGGATGCTTTTTTTAAAATAAAATATTATGATTTGGGTCCATGTTGTTCTTTTGGCAGAAAAATAAAACTAGGTTTAAAAAGGGACTGAAAGGAGCGGCACCGGCCGCCCAGTCTCCTTTCCTACAGCAGCCGCGGGCTTGCCTCAGGCCTGTGTTTCCCGCTCTGCTGTTTGTACGTCTAGGTTCCAGAGCCCTGATGGTCTCCCTTCTCTAATTCCTGGTTAACTTGCATTCGAGACCCCTTGAACCCTCACATACAACTAAGTGGACCTCGTAAAGTCAAATGTAAATTTGAAAGATAGAGGACTCAAACTTTGATGTCCCAGTTTGGGTTTATAACAAGTGAGGAACCACGGCATCAGTGAAAGGTACGTCCCTTGGAGACATCGTGGTAGAGCCTCTTTCTCATCCTTAGCCCTACTCGGGGCTGGTGTCTACTGAGGCCCCTCAGCTCAGCCTGGGAGCCTGCTGCTGGTGACACTGAATTTCAGGGGTGCTGAAGCAAGCCTGCCTTTATCAGCTCAGAGGTTAAGAACACGCTCTGCAAACATGGCCTGCAGAGTATGTTCTGTGCCGAGCACTGCTGGGTCACAGGGACACCCTGACTAGGACACGGTTCCTCCCATCAAGGGGCTTTTGTGATCATATGAAGAAGACATCGGCTGACAGTCCAGGTCACTTAGGAGCCCCATAAGGGTGGAGTAGCCAGTTTTTACTGTGAGGGTATAGAGGTCACGAGAGAATTCTAGAGGTGACCCATGAACCAAATTGTGAAGGATGAATACAGGTGGTTTTGGATCCATGAGTATGAGGGGAGGAGGTATCTAGGCCAACTCAACTGTAAGCAAAGGTGACATAATTGCTTACTGTCATCAGGGAAGTGGGTGGGGTGATGCAGAGAAGAGGCCAGAGTAAAGACAGACCTCAGACAACAGTGTATTAAGAGCCCTCAAGGCTTTATGCAGGAGAAGGACATGATCAGACTTAAAATTTAGAATTTCTTTGGCAGCAGGGAGGATGACAGGCTTGAAAGAAGGACCCGGGCAAAGGTCACTGCGATGAGTTCAGCACGGAGGGAGGAAGGCACTGGTAGGATGGTGGCCATGCTCTGGGCCTGAACGTACTTGCTGTTGGGAAGCATGTAAGGCGTTTCTGGCTTGGATAGCCGAGTAGACTGAGCTAGAAAAAAGGCTATGGAGGCAAGAGGAGCCGGACAGCCTTGGCCTGAGCCCGGAGAAGGCCATCCAAATGGCGTTTCTGATAGGCACTTGGCTCCATGAGAGCCGGCAATCTGGGGAGTGGTCTAGGTAGGCTGGTCACTTTGAAGACCTCACCACAAAAACATGGTAGTTGAAGCCGCAGTACGGGGCAGATGGCCTAAAGATCCCAAGTGAAAAGAGGGCAAAAGTCACTGCTCTGAAGAGCACCAGCATTTAAATGGTGGCAGAGGAACTACAAGAAGGAAGTCGGAAAGGTGGGAGCTGTTTTTAAAGTCAACAGTGTGAGTGCAGCAGGTTGATCAAGATAAGGAGTCAAGAAACCAATGGGTATGGCAGAACACCAGTGACCACAGGAATAATAAAAATGCCAGCACGGTTTATACATGGAATAATACTAACATTTCACACAAGGAAGAGGCACCAGACTGGAGTGGGTTGAAGTGGGGGAGGGAAATGACATAACAAAAGTGACTGCAGTGTTCTTCATAAAGCAGTAATTATTCAACTCCGTGCCTCTACCACAGCACAAGACCATACTTTCCTGCCTCCAACATCCTGGACTGCTCACTCCTCCCTGCCAAGTCACTGCTGTCTGCAAACATCTCTGGGAGCTTCCCTAAGCTTTCCAGTAACTTTGGGTTGGTTTAAACATATTGTTACATCGCCACTAAAATACTAACTATAACCGATGCTGCATTGTTAGCCACTTGGTGGGAATTCTCCCCTCACGGATGTGCAGTTCAGAACCACACAGCACTCACTCCCTTGTCCGAGTGCCTGGTATTAAACTCCGTATAATAAGGTGCTTAAATATTATTTGGGGAAGATGTTTTTCTCTGAAAAATAATGCCTGAACAAGCATGTGGAGGTTAGTTTTAAGTTAGTATTGGCTTTGATAGATAATTCTGGGAAAATGTACGACCTAGCAAAGGAAAAGACCATTCACTGAATCCTTCTGAGTTCTGAAAACACCAATAGGTTACACACAGAGGCTACGCTTTTCAAAGAAATAATTCAGAGAAAAAGTATTAGGAGTAATAGCAGAGGAATCCTATTATGCCATATAGATGAGTTTTAAAATTAGCAATCTACTATTTAGACCTTGAATATTAATCCCAAAGGAATTCGCCTGTATGTTATTTTTGAAAGTAATTCTACAAAGCAATATGTGCCCGGCTGGCATGGCTCAGTTCTTGAGTGTTGACCTATGATTCCTGGTCAGGGCACATGCCCAGGTTGCAGGCTCAATCCCCAGTGTGGGGGCGTGCAAGAGGCAGCCGATCAATGATTCTCTCTCCTCATTGATGTGTGTCTCTCTCTCCCTCTCTCTTCCCCTCTGAAATCAATTAAATTATTTTTTTAAAAGAAAGTAGGAAACAGAATCATCTGTGAACAGAACCAATACTGAGCCAATCCCAACATGTGTGCGACGAGCCTTGGAAAGACAGTACACATTCTGACTGCATTTAGCTTCCCTCTGCCTGCAGGTCCGACCCTGGTTTTTGCCCCTTCCTTCCTGCCTTTTTCTCAGGCTTCCTTCTCTAACATAGAGAAGGGGTAAGTGGGATCCAACAGGACCCAAATACACAGGATCTGGAGACAGAACTCTGCTCTGGTGGACATGGGGGCTGAGTCCTGCCCTGAGAGCTTTTGAGATTCCTAGTCACCCCCAGGCTGGGGAAAATAAATGGGGCTGAGCTGTAAACAGTTGTACAGAAGGTTCACCAGTTGAGAGCACTTTGTCAGAAAAGTCTCCCCTTGGCCTTCATGCCAGAGGAGAGCCCACTGCCCTGTGGCAGACCCAGGTAGAAACAACATGCGTGGGGCCAACAGAAGACAGTCTCTTTGTATGGACAGCAATTCAGAAGATGCAGGCCCAGCTTCCCTGAGACAGAAAAGCACTCGGCCTACAGACGGTGATGCAGTTAGCCTTCTGCCTCTTTGAAGTGGAAGCCACATTTGAGTTAGAACACATTACCCTGCTTTTTCCACACAGTTTATTCAAAAGTTTAAAAAGTGGACATTTCCCCAAAAAACAAATGATCCCCCGCCACTCCCCCACACACAATCACCACTCCTTACCCATGCTCACCACAGACTCTTGCAAAACACATGGGGGTCAACACCCCAACTATTTGGTAATACAAAGAAACTACAGTTACACAAAAGAAACTCATTTACTTCCTTTTCACTAACAGACCATGAATGAAAGATTTGGGGCAGACACATTACCTTCATCCAGAGTTAATACTTCCTTAAAATTCTTTTTTCTTTCTCTAAAACATGAAAATCCAAAGCAATTTCATTACTACTGTAACTTTGAATTTCATTTTTCTTTTCTGAATGACTAAGCTAGGACATACTTTCCTTTCAAAGCTGATCTTAGTAACATCAAGACTGGCAGGAAGTGGTCCTCTGCTGCAGCTTGGCTAGGATGCTCTGCACAGGTAAAGTTACCACCCAGGTGCAAATGATGCTTTCCGAGTTATTAACATTTTTTAAAGTAATGCATTAATATGGAGCCTCCACAATTTTCTGACACAGCAAACTTCCTCTAAAGGTGGTGGCAGCTGTAAAAGAGAAGGCACTTTGTGCTCAAGTTCCGAGGGTGTCTCATGAGAGAAGGCCACGGCAGGGCCCGCTCAGCCCAACCTGTAGGGTGGAGAGGAACATCCCCCAGGAAGGCATCTGCAAAGGAAATATCTGTAATCATGGTTCCAAGGCAAAATGGTACTTAAAGATGGGCGAGAAGAAATACCAAGAGAGGAGACAAAACACAGCTGAGCTGCACCACTGACTGAGGAGTGAACAAGACAAAGATCTGAGGCTGGCTCTGCACTTCCCACTGGGCTGGCTCCTTCCCACTTCCAAGCAGGTTCTGGAGACCCATGGGAGCAGCACCTCAGCCAAGAGGGTTCCAGGCTCCTGCCTGTGCCTGGCTCTCCTTGCTGTGTTCCCAGGAAGAAGCCGAGTTCCTGCTGGCAGCACCTGTGGGTAGTGCTGGTCCACGGCAATATCCGACTCGGACTTTCTGAGCTAGCCGAAAAGAGAAAATGAGGTTTTCCATGTGATCGGACTCCGTGGCAATGCCCAACGGCTTTGGGGGCCTTCGAAGAGCAACAATGGATCAAGCTGGTATTCCCCCATCAACACTCCAAAAAGCAGCATGAGTATTTCAGATGGTGGGAGGACAGGCAGCAGTGGACTGTCTGTGTCCTAGTACCATAAATAAGGTGCAGCACGAATGGAGGCTGTCGGAGCCTCTCGTCGGGGGAGAAACTACCATCACCCCTCAGAGGATGGAGGATCGCTTTCTTCAGCAGAACGCTGGCTGCTGAGGCTTTCATTATTGCTCATTTCCTTAGGACTATGGAACTTTCAGCTGTAAAGAAATAGGAAATACTTGGTGGGCTTGGCAGAAAGCCTATCACAAAATCATGGGAATTGGCGGATATTCAGTAAGTATACATTACAATTTCAATAATGTTGGATGATGGCTGTTTTTTCCCCTTCATTCTGATGAACTTAGGAAAACTCAAGTTGTTTAAAAAAAAAAAAATCTATCAAATTGGCTCGTGACGCTTCTGAAGAAGCTGCTTATGGCCGACGTGGTGGAACTGGCTGGCTTTGTTCTACAGCTTCAGATGCACTATGAAGAGAATCCACTCACTGTCACATTTCAGGCAAGTTTCCGGGACATACGGATGGGTTCCATAAGCTTCTTGGAAGCTCTTTCAAAAGTGTGTGAGAGGAATACCGGGACGTGTACACAGAACTCTGCTCCACACAGGGTTCCATCCAAGGGCACTATTTTGCTGCTTTCATGTAGGAAGGTATTGCCCCCCGCGCAGTCAGGCCCTCAAAGCGCTTGTATGTGTAATTGATGAAGACCCAGTCCTTGTTCTTGTAGTCAGTCTCAGGGTGATTACTTGTTGCCACTGGGAAAGAAATAGATGTGAGAGTTGACTCCCTGCCTTACCCCGACAGCCCACTGGGTACTGAAGACATGACGTTCTGAAGAACATACCAGTTTTCTATCTGGGAAAAGCTATTTTTCACTCAGGGTGAATTTTCTACATTTGCTTGCCTATATGTTCCTTGAACCTCATTTTTTCCCACATATATTTAAAGCGGTTTATTTTCCCACTTCTGTCATTCCAGGTCACCCAACCTTTACTGTAATAAACAGCAACAAGAGAGCAGACCTTGTGACTGACCCACCCGCTGGGCAGGCTAAGCCCGGGAGCGTGTATCCATCTTCCACGTGACACGGTCTCGCTGCTTCCCAGCACAGCACTGGAAATACTTACCAAGAACCCGAAGACCTGAAGTTCCTCTCCACATCCTCTACCCTGATTTGTAAACATCACCCCAAAATGGAGGGGAGGGGGGAATAATGCACTTGTAAGGCAGCCGAAGGCAGAGTTGGTGGTATTACCTGTTGGCTTAAGAATATCAGATTCTGGAAACTCATCGAAGTTTGAGGTATCGTCAATGCTTTTGATTTCAATAGATATTGCAGCAGGTCTCTCTCTGCCAAGAACAGACATGCCAGAATTACTATGGTTAGTAATCAAATGCGTCATAACTAATCAGCCTTCCGCAGAGAAGACCCTGGGTCTGACGTGGAAGACTACCCCAGGCAGGCAGCACTCATTTTCTCTGAAAAGCTTCTGACCACGGACCAACCATACCAACTGACTACAGCCAAACAAAATAAATCACAATGAAAAACTATAACAATTATTCATAGCTAGAAGAACAATAAGGAGAAATTAAAGTCCAAGCTGTGCACCCCCCCACCCCCCACGCCCCATGACCTGTCCTGCCTGCTAGAAAGGGAGCCTGGACCTCAGAGAGGCCCCTCCTGTAGGGCTCTGCCCATCCATCCAAGATGCCAACGAGGAGGTGGCACAAAAGAGGCAACGGTAAAAATCACAGGATGCAAGTCAGAGCAGTCATGAAACAGATGACAACTTCTTCACCTGCTGTTCAGCAACCACAAACGCGAGCGGCCTGGGCCTGGGCCCACGGCAGGCTGCACAGGCGCCCGCTGGGCTGGGAGCGTTCCACACACCAGACGTTCTCACTCCCCCTCCACCCCCTCTGGCCACTTCCTGCCCCAGTCCTTCCACTCCTTCCTCCTCCTCCATCTCCCAGAGGCAGTCCCTATCCTCTGGGCAGGGACAGTCATGCTGGTGGTCCCCAACACCAGAGGGGCTGGAGTGTTCCAGAAAAAGCAAGGACAACACACTTCTTAGATGTTCCCTTCACAATGGAACCCAAAGTTCACTTCACTTGGAAGTCACTGCTGGCTTTAACATATTCCATGACTCCGGGCCAACAGGAAGCTCCAATTCCCAGTCCTCAGCATAAACTTAAATCAGGAAAATACCCTGAATTTCTAAAAAGATCTCTTCTCTTACTTGGTTTGCCAATAATGGTGCTTCCAAATTAGTATTAAGCTAACTACAGAATTTCTGAAATAATCCTGAAAGTTTTCAAATGGATATACCTGATGTGTTCCCAGTCAACACCTTCAAAAAAAGAATTACTTTTGATTTCCTCAACTCCAGGGGCTCCAATCCTATGCTCCCATTCACAGCAGAATCTGGAAAAGACAGAGGCCTTTCAGCATACCTCAGGTAGTTTTTTTGAAGAAAAGGAATAACCTCCCCTTTTCAAAAAGAGAAATAGGAGGAAGCAGGGTGCAACCCAGGAAATAACGAAAGATTTAAAACACAGATTCACTGATGTCAAAAAGCCTGGGGGGGTGGGGGGGGTGTTCTCCGACCGATACCTCAAAATCAGATCCTTGGCTTTCTCAGAGACAGGCACTTCTGGGGGGAAAGTCAGAGTTTCTTTCCAGTTCATCACCTTCTTATATGTCTCTTGAGGGGTCTCAGAACAGAAAGGCGGGTAGCCTGTAATAAAAAGGAGCCTGGAGCTTTCACATCACAGGGCGCTGAATGTGAGATTAGTCTCCTTAATACAATTCTCTGTATCTGTAATGATCTTGTTATGTCCTTCCCCCATGACATCCTAAACAATATTTTATCTTCCCCGAACTCCTAAACCCAGAGTGAAGTTGTGCTCTTGGAACCACTAGGAGCCAGCTAATAACTGGACCTGGAAAAAGAGAGAAGTAGAGTTACAGATGTGGGAACCACTGTGCCCGAAGAAGAAATGAAAGGATGAAACAACCTTACTAAGAAACGCCTCACCCTGGCTGGGTGGCTCAGTTGGTTGGAGCATCATCCCGAGCACCAAAGGGTTTCAGATTCAATTCCCGGTCAGGCTGCGGTTTCTGTCCCAGTTGGGGAGTGTACAAAAGGCAACCAATCAATGTTTCTCTCTCACATCAATGTTTCTCTCCCTCCCTCTCCCGTCTCTCTCTAAAATCAATAAACATGTCCTCAGGTGAGGATTTTTAAAAGAGAAAAAAAGAAACTACTCCATTCTAAGAACATCCAAACAAGTAGAATAAGAAAAAACCATGGGTTTTGAAAGTGACCCCCATCCCTCTTTGAGAGCCACAGGCACGAAGATAAATCATACTCCTCTCCCTGCCCTCCACACATGACACCCACTCCAGAGGCCTCCATCCAATGCTCCCAGAGACAACACAGTCAGACAGAGGCCTTGCCTGTTGTCCACACAGACACACTGACTCCCCTAGTGCTCTCGGGCATGGGGCCACCCCGCTGCTGTGTCCCCTAAAGGAGATATACCATCTGAATAAGAGGGAGAGATCAGAGGGTCCCATGCTTTGAAGACCTCGAGAGATGAAGGGGACAGAAAATAGGAAGTAAAGAGTGTGTGAGGCAGTACCCAGGTACAGCTCTCTGCACACAATGACTGTTTAATAAATCCAGTGACTGAAAGAGCTGCTAGAGGGAGAGGAGGCAAAAGCAGAAGAAAAACATGATAAATGATCAGCAAAGCAACCACAGGATGGCACTGTGCCAGAGAATACAGTAGGGTGCATTTTTTGGCCAAGAGTTTTCTACTTGGGAAACTACTTTGAAAGATGGGGGAGGGGAGAGCACGTAGATCCACCTCAAATTGAAATGGGAGTTTATTATCACCGTAGGACTCCTTCGTGGCCACACAGAAAAAGCCAACTGAACGCATACAACTTACCAATGAGCATCTCATACATGATCACGCCAAGCGACCACCAATCACAGAGCTTGTTGTACCCGGTCTGCATGAACACCTCGGGAGCAATGTAGTCAGGCGTCCCTACTGTGGAGAAGGCCTGAAACACGTACCACACGTCAGGGAGGCCCAGCAGGCAGGAGGGTGCTCGAGTTCTGTTCTACAGACCAGAGGCCCCAGCACCATCTACTAGGGCAGGGGTGGGGAACGTCCGGCCCACAGGCCATGTAAGGCCCATGAAATCATTTGGTCTGACCCTGCCAAGGCATTAGGGGTGACTTAATTAAATGTTTGACCAAAGACAGCAGGCTAATTTTTAAGTTGATCATTGTGTATGGCCTGTGAATGATGTTATAAATATCCAAATGGCCCTGGGCAGGAAAAAGGTTCCCTACCCCTGGTCTACAGCTACCCACAAACCAAACATGCAGGAAGGCCTCGCTACTTAATGGCAAACCTGATTTGCCAGAGGACTTCCAAAATGAACACTAAAGCTGTCAGTGAGGTGAGGGACCCAAAGCCTACTAGTGCCTGTCGTGACAGGTACCTATGACAACTAGTCATAATTTACTGAGCATCCAGGAAGTGCCGGGCTCTATACTTCTTACATGCTTATGAGACTATTTAGTCCTGACAAAACTGAGCAAAGAGGACTTTATTAATCCAATTTTGCAGATTAAAAAAATCTGACGATCAAAATGGCTTTGCCCAAGAACGAGTTAAGTGGCAGAGTGCGGCTTGGAAATTCTCTTGCTCCAAACCATGCCTCTTTCCACTATATCCATTCTTTGATTTGAGAAAATCATAAAGGGAAGTTTTTATTATTAAAAGCTAAAGGTATATCCTATAGGTCAAAGGTTTATAAATGTCTATTTACCAAACTTAACTATCTCTATGACTAGTTGTGAGAGGAGTGTTTATAAATGCAGGGAATCTCGTCTCGTGCCCCAGACTGCAGTCCTGGGGGAGCACAGCCACGCCTGCCAGTGTGCTCGGCACCGGAGCCGGACCAGCTGGAAGGCTCCACGCGAGGTGCTTTCCTATCACATAATCTCCAACATTAAAAGTACAGCTGTGTTGGTTTTAAAAAGTATTTATTGTGAAATACTGCAAACATACAGAAACAAAACACAAACAACACACATGTAATTATTACCCATCTTAAAGAGAGGTTAAATAATCTGCCACATTTGGTTTAGATCACTTGTCTTTTTTTTAAAAGTGAAACTGAAGAAAGACTAAAGCCAGATCCCCGGTCCCTCCCTCCACTAAAGTTAAAACCACCCTGAAGTTGTTTGCTATGCTGGTATGAATATTCTGCCAGTGACATATTACTTCCTGTATATTTCAACTTTTAATAAAGGATTTCACACCGATCTGTATTATTTTACAAGGCTTGCTTGTTTTACTCCAATTATACACAAGATTAATTTACGTAATTCTTTCACTCATTTTACTACTATATACTTTTTCATTACACAAATGTCATGGTGTTGTTTTTTTATTCATTCTCCCATAAATGGACACTTATATTGCTTCCAATGTTTCACTATAACAAAAACACCTGAATGAACATTCTTGTATCATTTCCTGGGCACTTGTGCAAAGATTTCACTAGAGAATGTGAGAGAAATAGTATCACTGGTCTTCTACTTAATTAGCCGTCTTCCAATTGTCCTTCCATGTGGTTATGCCCATTTAATCACCCCAGGGGGGAGGAGCTCCTATGTTTCATATTTCACCCATACTTAGCTCTGTTGAACGTTTTAATTTTTACCAATCTGATGAATATGATATGGATCTCACTGTTTTAATTTGCATTTCCCTTATTTTCAGTAAGGTTGAGTGCATATGTTAATTAGACATTAAGGTCTTTTTTTTTTTTCCTGTGAATTCCTTGGAGTTCAGATCCTTTGCCCATTAGTTTTTTTTTTTAGTTGCATTATCTTTTTTCTTATTGATTCAGAGGAATTTTAAAAATAAATCCAGGGCATTAATCCTGATTCAGGACATTAATCCTTTATAGTTTCACATATTGCAAATATCTTCTCCCAATTGGAGGCTTATCATTTATTGATTTTTTTTAATGATGCAATATTTGTCCATACCAAAAATGTGTAATTATTGAATTATAAAGAATAATAATGAAAACAAATACTCTCGAGTTCAACTGAAAAAACAAAATATTACCAATACCATTAAAACTAAAAGTGTACTCATCCCATTTCACCCCATCCTCGGGCTCTCCTAAACTCTATATGCTCAATTTTATGTTTATCATTCCTCTGCTTTTAAAAAGAAATTTAATTTTTTGCCGTGTGTCTCTCTAAATCATTTTTAGTTTTGTTTCTGAGCTTTGTAAAAACAGCATCATTCTACATGCAGCCTTCTGCTATTTGATTTGTCCTCTGAATGTTTTGTTTCTAAAATTGATCCGTGATATCACATGTAGCTGTAGTTCAGTTGTTTTCACTGCTGTAAAATATTCTATTCCAGAATGTAACCATTTTCCTGTAGATGGACAAGAACCACTGAGTAATCTCCATGGTTTGGGGTTTGTTTGTGTTTTTTTTTGCTGTTATGAAAATGCAATAAACGTTCTTTGGCGTGTCTCCTGATTTACAGGTACAAGCATTTCTCCAAGGCACATGACTAGGGGTGGAATTGCTGGGTTGCAGGATATGCACGTGAATTGCAAGACAATTCCAAAGTAGTTGGGCCACATGACTTATCTACTCCTTTATGTCTTTCAACATACAGAAAGTTGTGTGTGTTTTTTATAAGCAGTAAAATAAAACACTTTCTTTATGATTTGTACTTCTTTTATGATATTTGAGAAGTCTTTCTTTACTCTGAGGTTATAAAGATACAAGTATTTGCTTCTAAAATTGTCAAAGTTTTACTTTTCATCTACAATTTATTTTGTCTTTACTCTAAGACAGAAATCCACTTATTCCACATACATAATTGCACAGTATTTTCTTTAACTATACATATTAAATAACATAAATGCCAGTTTTATTTTGTTTTAAAGCTTGAATTCTAAAATATGGATTGGGCCCCAAGAAGAAACCCTTCAATTTAGGGACTAGATTTATTCCAGCAAAGCTGACTATTAAGTAAACCTTATTTGTTCAGAGATTTCTATTACGAAACCAGAGATCTATTGCCACAGGAAAAGAATTACTTCAAGATACTAAGGCATTGAAAGACTCCTGCAGTTACAAAGTACAGCCAGCAGCAGGCACAGCCCTGTGATACACGCGGCTGCGACTAGAGCCCAGCCTCAGGAGCTCACTCTCATTTTCACGAACTAGTCGAAGGACTGCCCCCTTCCCACACTTTTGTCTGTTTTCCATACTAAGCTCTTAATACCTCAGATCTGTCTCCTTTTCCTTTTTGGTCTCTGGATATTTTCAGTGTTAATTAGAGCTGCACTTTTAAGAGCTTTGTCAGTTGTTAATAGTCATTTTCAAACACGGCATGTTCCAACTTACTATTTCATTTAGGATTTTGGGGAAAATAAAGCAATTTCACTTCCTACTCAAACACTTCGATAACTTCTACACTAAAAAAATAAATACATTAGCAAAGATCAGATGCCTAGATGCACTTCGACTCTTACCTCTGTGGTTAATAACTTAAAGCTGACTCATACCTATTTCCTAATCAGTTACTAGGCCTAAGGTTACCCAAGACCACACAGCTATTTAAAACATTACAATATAATTTAAGCAGCCAAGGAGTGATCCTTAAACCTCTACTTTATTCAGTGGTTCTCAATGGACTGAAAAGTAACAGACTGACGAATCCCAGATGGAAGGCAGGGTGGGTGGGAACCTGTCTGCATACATGCATAACCCTTGGACACAGACAGTAAGGTGGTGAAGGCCGGGGGCAGGAGTGGGCTGCAAGGGGTCAGTCAATGGGGGTGGGGGAAAGGGGACATATGTAATATTGCAACAATAAAGATTTTTAAAAAGAAAAAGAAAGAACAGTAATAGGGTGGGTGAACAATATGATAGGCTTAACCTAGAGCAGTAAATCTACATTAAGCATTAACTAATATTAACCTCCTGTTTGGTTCTGGCTGAATGGGATGGCCTATGAAAGGTCAAAAGCACAGGGTTAATTGACCCTGTGAAGACTGAGAAGTAGTTTTATTTTCTTCAAGTTATTAAAATTGATAATACGAGGATGACTTTAATACATTTCCATTTCTACCATAGAAAAAACAAAAATGTCAGAACATTAATCACAGCATGAGAACCTTAGTTTACTAAGATTTTTAAAAACTACACAACATTTGAACTATTAAAGGACAGTGAATTCCAAATACAGCAACAGTGAGCTCCCCTTCCTTACAGACCTACTGCAGGTTCCTAGTAAGCCTGACATGACCCTCTGTGCGTGTCAAATAGCATTAAGCCCATCTCAAAGTATAAGAATAACTTAAGGTACTTAAGCTTAATTAACCCAAAAATAAGTAGTAGTACAGCGGCCAAAGGTTAAATGTTGGCTTGCTTTTATTTAAAAAATTAAAAATCAAAGAAGATTCCTTACCTTTTGTTAGCTTCCAAAACATAGGTAAATGTCAATGTCCCAATTAATGCAGAAGCTTTTGTTAAGAAATAGTCTCAACCTTCACTGCATAGGGCAATCACCCAGAGTCCTTTTGAAAATCAGATACCCAAACTCTATACCCGAAACTAAGTCAACCAGAATCTCTGGGGTGCACCCAGACACAGTATGTTCTGAAGTTCCAGGTGATCCTGATGTGCAGCCAAGGTAAGATCTGCTCTATGGAGAGACACAACAGAAGCACCTGGCCAGATCTGTTTCGACACTCCCTAACCCTCACCAAGCTACGGAAAGTTTTTAACCACATACAGAATTTAGACATTTAAAGAATATCAGAATTCCTAAGCAATAGAGACTACGATGTCACTAACTACCCCTGATTATCAAAGATTAATTTCAGTTACTGTATCTCCAAAAGTATTTGGGTTAAGTTATTGCCTCTCCCAAGGCCCAGGTTTAACATAAAAATCATAATACGCAGAAAACATAGTCTGAGCCCACATATGGGCCTCAAGTAAAATTTTTTTAAAAAGCAAGCCTTCCTTTGATTCTTTTTCAAACAATTCTACAGGCTTCCATTTTCACATCACATGACTAGTGACCTACTAAGTCAGTCATTAAAAACACTATAGAGAACTCTAATTCAGTATTTTACCAAGAAATTTGGCTGAAAACCAGGATCCAGCCCACCTCCAAGTTACTATTGTATCTGTATACGTCACAAGCAGAAGTGCCACCATGTCTATGTAATACGCACACACGCTCATCACTCCTAGTTAGTCACAGCCTCCCACTGCTGCTGCTCTTGCTTTCTGATAGCCAGCTTTTAGTTCAGCTCTACCATCGTCAACCTCATTTGCTGCAGGTTTCTAGCAAAGCCTAAGTATGCAGTGATTCACATTTCTATGAATTTCCCAATAACTAGACAGTAGGACATGTACATTGCACTTCAAATATAAACTAATGAATCAGAATAAAAGCTTGCTAATAGCAACATTTCACTGGTGAATTTGTATCACTTAAATAACTTCCTACATACGATCAAGATAAATCCAATGTTATTTTTTAAGCCTGTGACACATAATTTTATGTGTATTTGCTCAAATATCCATAAAGTAAGTAATAAGCATTTCCCTTAAATTTCTCTCCAATTTTAAACACCTGGTTCTTTTTCCTACCACAAAATAGAAAAGGGTGGAGCAGGTAAATCGAGGAGTAATGACTTGCTGAAGTGAATCAAAATTTTAGAAGTTTGTGAACCATTATTGTCTTAAAGCTCTGGGTAGATATATGTGCTTAGTTTCATTTTGAGAGACCTGGAGCTTAAATATGACCCCTTTACCGTCATAACAATAGGGAAATGGTGGGATAGGAAAGAAAGGGGTTGTCACCAATGTAAAGGTCAGAATGAGGTCATCTACTGAAAATGACACAACCGAAACAACCTAGTATCATCTGCTTCCAAATGACAACAGCACGCTATTAAGATCATCTGAAAAGCAAGGGATAGATGTGCTGCAAATTTATGTGCATATTTTTTAACATATTCATACTTGGCTTGTAGCATTTAAGAAGCTACAGAGATTACTTACTAGCTGACGTCTATTTCTTTTCCAGGTTTCTGCTTTCCTTTTGGAATTCATGTTCTGGAAAGCTAAAAGTAGAGAAAACAAGTTCTATTCAAAGTCAGACAGGAATGTTTACTACTTTTTTAGGCTCTGGTCCAAACCAAAAGTCTGCCAACACATCAGTAACTTTGGATGACACATTTCCCAGCAAGCATTTGTTCAAAGAATCACACAATGAGATCAAACAGCACTTCCACATGCATCATGTGGCTACAGAGAGCACAGCCTTGATCAGAACTACAGGGAATTTCATCAGAATTACCGGAAATTCAGTCTCATCAGAAGCAAAGGTCCCAAAATGGACCTAAAACATTTACAATTTCTCAAAATTACCATCAAATTTCCAAGAGCAGTAATTGTTAATCAGAGATTCCAGGGTTTATAATACATTATTTGATATAAGCTCTCTAAGATGAACTGTAGCTTTACTATATAATTTCAGTGGTTTGATTGATAGTGAAAGTAACACTCATAAAGATAAATTTCTTTCTGCCATGACAGAAAGGAGCATGTAGGATAAATCTGTTCTGGAACTGTTCCCAGGACTTCCTCCTCTACTGCCCCAAATTCCTCCCCAGGAACCTTCTCATAGAGCTCCAAAGCAAGCTCTTTACGACATCCGTCTTAACACACTGGGGACACTTCTCTGGCCTCACTACACAAGTACAAGTCATTTCACTCTCTAAAGCAGGGGTGCGCAAACTTTTTGACTCGAGGGCCACAATGGGTTCTTAAACTGGACCGGAGGGCCGGAACAAAAGCATGGATGGGGTGTTTGTGTGAACTAATATAAATTCAAAGTAAACATCATTACATAAAAGGATACGGTCTTTTTTTTTTTTTTTAGTTTTATTCATTTCAAACGGGCCGGATCCGGCCCGCGGGCTGTGGTTTGCCCACGGCTGCTCTAAAGGCTCCAAGGGCTCTCACTGGTTGGCTCAGTGGATAGAGCGTCGGCCTGCGGACTGAAGGGTCCCAGGTTTGATTCCAGTCAAGGGCACATACCTCGGCTGCAGGCTCCTCCCTGGTCCAGGCCCTGCTCGGGGCTTGTGCAGGAGGCAACCAATCGATGTGTTTCTCTCATATCGATGTTTCTGTCTTTCCTTCTCTCTTCTACCCTCTCTAAAAAGTCAATGGAAAAATATCCTCGGGATTAAAAAAAAAAAAAAAGACTCAAAGGGAGACTCTCCTAATCTGTCCTGCATATTCTGGTTACCAGGGGACCAGCTCTACTAGGCCCAGTTAAGGAATAAAAAGGCTAACATCACTGTTAACACTTACTGAAATCACTGGGAAGGCTGTGGTTCAAATTCCTATAAAATTCTGTCCTGTGTGCTTTCTTCAGGCCTGTGCAAAGGCCGAAATCAGAAAGTTTCACATGGCCCTGTGGGGAAGAAGAGACCACGGATGAGCGTTCGTGGATGTGGAACACAGCAGTGTCCTCGTAAGATCACCCCAAGTTCTATTACACTAATAAAAGTATTTTCAATTTTGCATATTGTCTTTATTTTTGTCTAAATATGAATATTTAAACATAGCTGAACCCTCGATAGCATCTAAAGAGAATTTCACTTCATATATATATATATAGTCTTAGAAATTACCATTTTTAATGTTTACAGATAATACTCAAATGACTTAGTACACCGCTGCTTACCTAACATCCCCCTCATACTTTTGCTCACTTCACCCCCAATTCTTTCCTCTCACTGCAATGTGGACTACAAGCACCCCGGTGCTGTCTCATTCATAACTCTGAGGCCACACTTCCCAGACTCAGAGTTGTTAAATGGCTCGCTGGTGACATGGCAGAACCGAAACCAGAAATCAACAAGCTCTTTCTCTGCCAACCAGGATTGGCTCACCTCTGCACCCAACCCATCTGGAAAAGGGGACAATGACATCTGCCTAGCAGGAATGATGAGAATTAACGCACACAAGGCTCCTAACTTGGTGCCTGGCACATAACTAGCCCTAAGAAAGAGGCGGGTGTTCTTGAGTGGTTAAATTTCAAGTAGAGGAGGTAAGCCCAAAAATAGGGGAGGGAATCCGGATGCTCAGCGATCTGCGCTGCTCAAGGTCACACACTTAGAAGTGGCGTGGCCGTCTGAGCCCCGATGACTTCAACGTGTGTGGTCACTCCATGATACCACCTTCCTTCAGGCCCCAACATACAATTTCCCAGGGGACAAGGCTACAGCAGCCCTGCTTGAGGGTCAGGTTTTATTTTGTTTTGTTTTTAAAATCCCGGCTGGCATGGCTCAGGGGTTGGGTGTCCACCTTGAATCAGGACACAGTTCCATTATGTCAGGACACATGCCTGGGTTGCTGGCTCGATCCCAAGTGTGGGGTGTGCAGGAGGCAACCAGTCAATGATTCTCTCTCTTCATTGATGTTTCTGTCTTTCTCTCCTCTCCCTTCCTCTCTGAAATCAGTATGGGGGGGCGGGGGGAGAAATTAACCCCATTAGGGGCGTGTGTGTGTGTAACACTGCCAAACAAAGACAGCTTTGAGCCTATTAACCTGATATCTTTGTTTTCAGATCTGCAAATAACTTGTTCTACAAGTCAAGGAACAGAGTTTAATTCGTAGTTCTCATAATTACATGTTTCACCTGGACACCTCTAAGAAAAGAGTGTGTCTTAAAGAGCAGTGCCTGGAGCAAATGTTATGCAAGCCTACATTTTTCAGAGAATCCTGTAGCTATTCTGAGTATACAGCAGAAACTCAAAACTGCTACATTTTCAATTCAACAAACTATATGGCTGAACACACAAATGAGCCTGCTTGTGAGAACATTTATTCTACAAGTCTGGGCTAGCATACTACAGAGAGCAAACGCGCCCCTAGCAGGGCCCTCCCTGCCTCCTCAGCTAGATTCAGTCCCTAAGATTTAGCCTTCAACGTTTGCTGAACCTTTACATAGACTACAGGGTACAACTACGCCAGCACTAAGGCATCGGCGGTACAGGACCAGTGCCTGTGAACCCAAGACCAACGAAGTAGGGCCAGTGCCTTATTAAAAATATATCTGGACTTAATGACACAGAAAAATATTCTCATATACATTAGCATTTTAAATACCAAGAATACCAAGCTATTTACTTTGAGGACCTAATTGTATAGAAATTATTGACACAAACAGAAAAGATACTGAAGCTATTATACCAAAATAGTGCTTATCTTTGAACAATGAGATTATCAGTACTTTTCTTCTTTGTAACTCTCTGCATTGCTCAAATTCCTACTGTGTATGTGCATTATTCTTATAATGAAGGAAGAGCTACTAATCAGAAGAAATTATCTGACAAATCTCCTGCCCTTTTGAAACAGAAAGAGAAGGGTTTTTAAAGAAAAAAATTCCGTTTTTTTAGCACAGCAAGAAAGTTATAAATTTACTTTTCTACTTAAAACAATTACACGTAACAGAACAGAAGGCAGGAACTTTGGAGCGTCTCTTGATCAATATGTTCACTTTACAGAAAAGTGAGGCCCAGAGGTGGAGAGACTTCCAAGGAGGACCCAGCAACCACCCAGCACAGGGGGTTCTCTGCGGATTTGCTGTGAGTTTAAGAACCAAGCAAGTGAGCTCGTTTGCATGTCTAATGATAAATATAAGAAGACCATTACAGGGGCTGAGCAGCCTCTTTTTTTTTTTTTTTAATATATTTTTAATTGATTTTTTACAGAGAGGAAGGGAGAGAGATAGAGAGTTAGAAACATCGATGAGAGAGAAACATCGATCAGCCGCCTCCTGCACACCTCCTACTGGGGATGTGCCCGCAACCCAGGTACATGCCCTTGACCGGAATTGAACCTGGGACCTTTCAGTCTGCAGCTCTATCCACTGAGCCAAACTGGTTTCGGCATGAGCAGCCTCTTAAACAGAGGGCATAAGATCTGGAATCTAAACTTGTGACGAAGTGTTGTGGTGGTTGCTGTTGTGCCTCACTTCCCAGTTTGTGGCTGGGTGCCTCAACTGATGAGGCTGCCCGACAGAGGGGTTCTCAGTAAGTGATGCATCGATGTAAGTATCTGCTGAGGAAAGATGATGATCTTCGGCTTTATTACAAAATAACGTTCTAAATCAATTTTACTCTTAATCATTTTCAAAATGTCCTTTATTTTTAAAACAAACATTCAATCAAATAACAGAATCATGCCCTGGCCGAGTAGCTCAGTTGGTTAGAACATCATCCCGATATGCCAAGGTTGTGGGTTCAATCCCCAGTCAGGGCACATACAAGAATCAACCAATGAATGCATAAATAAGTAGGACAATAAATCCATGTTTCTCTCTCAAATCAATAAATAAAATTCTTTAAAAAATTATAGAATCATAAACCTTTCCGAGAAAGAAGGTAACAGCAAACGTACCTGTTTTTGTTTTTTAAAAAAGAGAGGCCCAGCCAGTGTGGCTCAGTGGTTGAGCATCGACCTATGAACCAGGAGGTCACAGTTCAATTTCCAATCAGGCTCATGTCTGGGTTGCAGGCTTAGTCCCCAGTAGGGGGTGTGCAGGAGGCAGCCGATCAATGATTCTCTCTCATCACTGCTGTTTCTTTCTCCCTCCCTCTCTCTCTCCCTCTCTCTCTCTCTCTCCCTCTCTCTCTCTCTCTCTCTCTCTCTCTCTCTCTCTCTCTCTCTCTCTCTCCCTTCCTCTCTGAAATAAAGATATATTTTAAAAGAAAGAGAGAGAAACATACAAGGTAGTTCACAGCTCCACAGCTTCCCTACAGTGACTGCCATGGCAGTGCAGGTGTTAAAGCAGAGGCTGCTCAGATTGGTAAATACACCTGAGTCATGCTGCTACCATCCGCCCCCCCCCCACCGTGGTACCTTGCTGTCCAGGAGAAGGTTGTCTGGTTTGATGTCTCTGTGGATGAATCCAAGCTGGTGAATGGAGTCTATGGCTAACACTGTCTCTGCTATATAAAACTGAGTCTCCTCCTCTGTCAAAGTATCCTTTTTCATCAGGAGGGTCATCATGTCCCCTGTAAAAAAGAAGATACAAAACCACCGCACACACACAGCGCATGAGTAAGCCAGTTTCAGGTGTGCCTGCCCTCCCACCTGCCAACATAAGGCCTCTGCTGTGTTCCAGGGCCTGACACACACTACCACTATGGCAGAAACAGGAAGTCGTTTCTACAGGTAAAGTTCACCGCACGGGAGCAAAGCACTTCCGCCTAAGCTAACTGATGCTTGCCACTGAGCTATGGTTTCCGCTTTACTTTGAGAGAAAAAGAAAACTTCTCTCACATTAAAAAAAAAAAAAAGTAAATTTGCTTATGATAAATTTTTGAACTGGGAATAAAAGCTACTTCACTTTTAACTTCGCACAAATATCTGCAAACTTCTCTAGGACCAAATGGCATTTCCACATGGGATGCATTGCCATTGTTATAGAGAAAGGTAACACTGGGGAGGCTGGAAACAAGCTCTCCAACTTCTACTTTCAAAGGCAGCAAAGTGCGTGTCCGCAGAAGCTAAAGTGAACATCTCCACAGAGACCGTGTGAGAGTTGCCTCCCCAAAGTGCACACTGATCATCTCCCACGATCAGGGGGTTTTTTCATCCAGTGTTTTATTGTATTTAAATATACACTAATATGCTTTATGCAATTTTTACAACATAGCATCAATAGTTCAGCAATTAAAGGTAACCTCCTTGTTTTCTGCAAAGTCAAAATTTAATTCTTTCTGCTTAATACCAGCAACATAAAATGGCAAAACAAAGATTCTGGTCCTAACTCAACGGTTAGACAAAAGCAAAGCAAACATGTATAAGTAGTTAAAGCTTAGAGAAACAGGAAAGGTTCAGTTTAGATCTCATAAAAAGCCATCTATGTTAGAAAATAGGGGAAAGAGAAAGAAACCTGGTGTTAACAGAGCATCATGCTGCTTTTTAAATTTCATTTCATTTATAACTTTTGGGGAACTTTAAGTTCTTAGAGAAAAGTGGGTATTTTACCCCCAGGCAAAAAATAATCAAACCTTTTATTAAAATGCTCTCTTTTTTGACCCAAGACTTGAAAAATATGAATCCCTACGCACTCCTGGCAGCCACACAGTCAGTCTGGAGACACACTAGTGGCACAGGGATACCGTCCTCAGTCCAGCTCTGAGGTAGCCGCATGGCCTGACACTGGCCCAGGAGAGAAGCCAATGGCCTCCCCTGGGGAGCCTGTCCAGGTCAGAGAGCTCAGGCCAGATGGTCTATGGCTCTGTGGGCCAGCTCCACCCAGGCAAAGGGCAGGGTCCAGGAGACATGGGAGGCTATGGGAGATTGTGCAGGTGAGGCCTGGGGAGCACATGTCCAGGGGCTGGTGACTATTTAACAATTGGCATCTAAATAATAAAGTTTGTCCTCACGCTATCAGTCTCTTTTCTCATCTTCATCAATTGTTAATAAAAAAAATTGCTGATGACCCTAGATCTAACTAAAGGTTGTCGTAAGATCAAAAGGTTATGCCACAATAGTTGCTTTGCTGTAGAACAAAAAAAGAAAAACTTTTCTTTTTTCCCCACCCGTCTGCTCACAGTTCACATGCTCGCTGGGGACAGACTGTGTTTCCCAGAAGAAATGGTATGCCCTGCTCTGGGTTTGTTTGGAGCTACCTCGGGAGATACACATGCTGAGTTACATAAACTTAAAATTTCAGAAATGAGAAATTGGAGCTGGCTACTAATACAGGTAATGAGAAATTCACTCCTTATTAATATGTTATAGAAAAGGAAACAAAAGAATTGAAGCAAAGAATGTTATAGTTTCAATTTTTTCACTTAGGTAACTGATTATACATGATTCCCATTGACAGGAGAGCAGGCAGAGTCCCTAGTTTATTCCTATATATTTAGAAGAAAAAGAAAGAAATGTCCATCTGAAATCATGGGAATGAATGAGAAGGTTACTTTTATGGCACTAAGAATTGTAGAAAGGCACCCAGCACAAGACAGGTTATTGACTTCCTTTACAGACCTAAAAAAGATAGAGAAAGTAACTTTGTGAGCACGGATTAGAAAGGAGGGTTAATTGAGGTGAGAAAGAAACCACAGAACAAAAAGGAAAAATGACCTTTCATCGTCAAGTAATTACCTCCAGGCAGGAACTCCATGATTAGGTAGAGGTTTAGCTTATCCTGAAAACTATAGAACATTTTCACAACCCACAAACTGTCTGCCTCCACTAGAATGTCACGCTCCGCACGAATGTGGCCAACCTGGAGGTATATGCATTTGATTAATGACAAGACTTGCTCTGCTTTATTAGACTGTATATTTGTTTAAACAATTTAAATACTATTTTGAGTATTAAATTGTGATGATGCAAAAGATCTAATTTACACTTAGGCAAACCTACTAACTCAAAATTGACAACATTAGGCTTGAAGATATTTGATAATGAAAAATTAAGTGATGAAAGTTTTTAAAAATGGCAAAATGAATGGCTGTAATGCAAATGGCAACTTTAACAGTGCTAAAAATCAACCCTCTGATTAGTCACAATTACTATGATTTTGCATCTTCTTGTTCTAATACAGTAATCCCTCCTTACCGGAGAGGGATACTTTCCAAGACCCCACGTGGATGCCTGAAACCAAGGACAGCATGGAACCTCATATATGCTATGCTTTCACACTGATGATAAAGCTTAACTTGTAAATTAGGCACAGTAAGAGATTAACAACAATAACTAATCATAAAATAGAACAATTATAACAATATCTGTGATAAAACTTATGTGAATATGGTCTCTCACCAAATATCCTATCGCACTGTACTCACCTTTTCACTTTAAGGAAGCGCTTTACGGCTTCTCTGTGGCATACCTGATGGCCAGCATCACTACTCTTATGCTTAGGGCCATTCTACAAGCCCTGCTACACCACATCAGTCCGTCGCATCACCGAGACGGCTACTCGGTGGCTAACAGCACAGCGTAGACACACGGGCAAAGGCAGGTTTTATGCCAGGCAGATGGAGCAGGATGGTGCAAGATGACATCACACTACTCAGAAAGGTGCTCAACTTAAAATGTATAAAGTGTTTATTTTTGGAACTTTCCATTTAATGTTTTCAGACCACAGCTGACCACAGGTAACTGAAACCACGGAAAGTGAAACTGCAGATAAGGGGGCAACTAATGTAATCTTTTATGATAAAGGTAAGTCTCAAGATGAGACTCTCTAAACAAGTCCTGATCCAGGTGTGCAAAGGTATCGGCAATGATGGTGCCCTGGCTGACCATTCTAGAACACTATGATACCACAGCATGTAGGGCGCTGCTATACACAGAGGCTGTGCTCGATAAATTCTTACTGAACTGAAATATAAGAACACCTAAGGGAAGTTTTAGGTTCAGATTTATGACATTTCCCGTTTCCTACTCTTACTGAAATATCTAGCTAAGGAGACCAAGTTGCCGAAGGTTTGGGAGAACTGGAATTCATTAAAATAATGTTTTATTATGAAATTTGCCTTATCTAATTTAATATATAATAGTAATCAAAACAGTGCTGCATATTATCAAATCCCACCCCCTCTCCTCTTATGTGTCACAAGATGCAAAGTTGGGTTGAATAAGATTTAAATTTATTAAACCCAGTCCAAGCCTTGAAGAGATATTTTGGTCTTAACATGCCACAGGGCTTGGGTTTACAGTAAGTTCAGAGGCAAAGATGTATCAAGGTTCACAAACTGGCACTCCTGTTGGCAAACTCACACAGTGTTCTATATGCTTGTTTGTTTTATTGGAATGTCTTTAGCAAAGCCAGGCACTCTTCCCTATGGACACAAATCCTCCCCCTCTCTCCTGTCTGACACCTCTCCTGCCTCATTCTTCCCTGCTAACTCCCAGGGGCCTGAAGGCAATAGAGTTTACTTACTATTTGAGTTTTCAATTGCTACTAAAATTGTTCAAGGCATTTTTAAATAGCAGAAAACATACATTTTTACATCTCACTTGCAGCATGAGGGTGGGAAAATGGAACACAGGGTGATAAGGAACAGCGCTATGAATCACGACAATGCCCGGTAAAGCTACTGCCATTGCTCAGCTTTAAAAAGGACCAAAGCTTTCAGAAAACACTAATGCCACTTGCTGAACAGCAGCCATGGCTTTGACAGCCATTACCAGACACAAAGACAGTACAAAGCAGCCCTCACCTGCCTCTGCTCCCCTGGCTGCTGCTAAGGCTGCTCCCTGCTGAGAGCGCCGCTCGCCTTGGGGGACAGAAGGTGACTACAACATTCCCTGTGTGCCGAGGGGAAAGCTACAGGCACTGGGAGCTTCCCTTGCCCTTCTCTCCTGGGGCTGAATCGGCAGCTAGGACCTCAAGAACTAGGAGTGGAGTCAGGTGGATAGAGGGTAACGGACAGAAGAGCCAGAGGTGCAACTCCCACCAGAGGTTCCCCTTCCCCTGCTCCTTAAATATTTAATGAGATACTACCTGGGCACTAGGAAAGCAGAGACACAAGTCAGTCTTCTATCCAATGCTAACACTAGACTTGGCGTCACAATTGGAGGATTTCCTTTTGTGCTGGGAGAAAAACATGAAGAAACTAGCTAAATGCTGGTCTCTTATCCTTTAGTATTTATTTCCCAGGTAGCAAAACTGTCCATCCTGTGGGACAGAATAACAGTCTGAATTCTCAGTGGGCAGCTCTAATTCTTGCTCAGTTTGGTAAAAGCAAACAAAAACCTTTTCCTCTGAATAAGGCACCTACCTATGCCTGCAAAAAGGTAGGCTCTGAGCCTAAACTTTGCCAGCCACACTCAAAAGTGATGGCCTTGCACTGGTCTACTTCCATCCGACCCAGTATAACCAGTTGCTCCTCCTTCAGGATGGCTAGCCAGGGAGAGCCTGGGCCAATGACTTTAACTTACCACCCTGAGGTCAAACCTTAGGGTAGCGGTTCTCAACCTGTGGGTCGCGACCCCTTTGGCGGTCGAACGACCCTTTCACAGCGGTCGCCTAAGACCATCCTGCATATCAGATATTTACATGACGATTCATAACAGTAGCAACATTACAGTTATGAAGTAGCAACAAAAATAATTTTATGGTTGAGTCACAACATGAGGAACTGTATTTAAAGGGCCTATTCCTTAGGGAGTTAGGTCCAACGGCAAGATGGACTCAAATCCTCATTCTAACCAACACTTTCTTTACTTTCATGTAGAAACACTTTAGCAATTAATTCTGAAGAAGGTAGTCTTTGAGAAAATGGTTGACAGTGTCTGGATCATCTCTGTCACCAGGCTACGGAACTGGCACATGCTAAGAAGGACTAACAAATGAGAATGTGATGTGCGTTCTTTAAAATGTTAACTGAATGTGAATTATTTGATAAAGTGGGGTTTTGAGCCTTGGGTAAACCTATGGGAAACATGTCTGGTAAAAATAAAATGCACTTGTGAAATACAAAATATTCTGACTAATCATAATACAGTTTTACAGTTTCCTTTTCAGGATCAACTGAAACTCTTTCAGTGCTTACAGCCAAACCACACACAAATTTTTAGATAAAATATAAATAGGGTGTGTGCATTTTTAATAGGTGGTGTTAGCATAAACTATAGTGTCTGAAGACTTATGCCAGGGTATTTGATACTCTCAATCGAAATTCCTGAAGTCTAAAGCTTCTGGGTAACATGAAAATTAAAGAGAAAATATAAACTCCAAGTGTCGAGCTGGGACTGAAATGAAGCCTCAGTGACTGTACCTCCTCTGAAGAGGCAGAAAGGGCCGGGCGGGGCCGCCTCCACCCTGCTCGTGGGCTGTGTCCGAGCTCTCCTGGTCCTCCTGCAGCACCGGGTCTTTCACGGGGTGTCTGCGGGCACCACCCACCACCATCTGTTCTTGAGCAAGCAGCTAACTTAAACTAGATTTACAGAATGTCTGCAGTCTCTTTCTTAATACACTGTCCAATATTTAAAATTTATTTTGCATAAACTACTTATGTATCTTATAAATCTATTTGCAAAGTAGGCTTAGGCTTTAGAAAGTGTTCTTATTCATGAATGAAGAATCTACACTGCTCTGCCATTTACATATTTTAACAAATTCATTCAGAAAGAAGACTTCTCTTCCAGGTGAAGATAAGCTACTCTGAAGATCCAACTTTGGTGTCAGTGTACAGAATGAAGTACACGAAGTCACACTGAGATGGCAAATCCCAAATTCTAACGCCTACGCCTCAGTTCCAAGGTGTGTGCAGTTTCTCTCTCTCAGCTCCCAGTAAGGAACACGCCACCACATCAAGTGTTACCTCAAAATTGGCTCATGACAAAGACAACTATGATCAACTGGGATTCACAGAGAGCAGGTGCTTCTCTAATAGGCTTTCAACTTTTAAAAGATTGCATATAACATAGAAATATTATTTGTACTTTTAAAATATATGTAACTACTACTTCTTTGTTGGATAAAAAAAGTAATACTCTACAAATATTCATACATGACAGAGCTAAAGAAAACTGTAATAAGAATATACATTTCAAATAAGCAAAAAGAACAGTTTTAGGAGACAAAAAGTTCATCAAGTAACTAAAATCCCAACTACAATTGTGCTTTACCTGCTCTTTTTCAAGCATATCTGCTTTACGGAGTATTTTCATTGCATACACATGCCCTGTATCTTTCTTCTGAACAAGCCGAACCTAAAAGTTATTAAAAGAATGCCAAGTTAGAAATTCACAATGCCAAGCTAATGCTTTCATGTGTTATAGGAAGTAATATTTAAACTGAAAAAGTATAAAAATATTTTAAAAAATCTATTTCCATTGATTTCAGAGAGGGAGGGAGAGGGAGAAAGAGATAGAAACATCAATGATGAGAGAGAATCATTGACTGGCTGCCTCCTGCATGCCCCCCACTGGGGATTGAGCCTGCAACCAGACATGTGCCCTTGACCAGGAATTGAACCATGACCTCCTGGTTCATAGGTTGATGCTCAACCACTGAGACATGCCAGTCGGGCAAAAAGTGTAACAATTTTAATATAAGCAACTAGCAAGAACAAAGCAAAATAAAATGCTTTTTGAAGTTCCAAAATAGATATTATACACCCAGTGAAATCAGTGCTAGAAACATCTGCTTTGGCTCCCTAATAGGACAAAACGATCTAACTCAGGATCCTCACTTTCAAACTTAAGGACTCATTAAACCCGTGGCTCATGTCATGCAGTCAGCTCAGAAAACCTAAGAAAGTGATTACAGCAATGTTTAAAACAATAGCAAAAGCTCATGGCGTAGGAAAAATGTCTTGAAGGAAAAAAAACTAAATATAACTAGGGAAATGGGACTTTATGCAGTTTTCCTCTCTTCTTAATTTTCCAATGTTTTTCAGAGAGAATAAATAAATCAATGAAAAGAAAATTAAGAGTCTACAAACCCCCCAAAAAACCTCTGGCAATTCCCTGCACATCCTTCCCTTCCTCTCCCAGCACATGTATGTTTTCTTCTCCCCACACCTTTCTTTTCCTGCTTGAGCCCCATGTCCCTTCCTCACCGAGCAGAAAGCAATTTAGAGGTGGTACTGTCCATTTCCCTCTCTTAAGGGCCAACAGGGATTCTGAATGCTCAGGGATCAATTTACTCTTCCATCTGTGCTTTTGAATATACACTTACATTTCCCCGAGGGTACAGGGTTGCCATACCTATTATACAAAGACTAGAGGCCCGATGCACGAAATTCGTGCAAGAATAGGCCTTCCCCTTCCCCTGGCTGCCAGCACCGGCTTCCCTCTGGCACCCGGGACCTGGGCTTCCCTCGCAGCCCTGGCTTCGTCTGGAAGGATGTCCAGTCTAATTAGCATATTACGCTTTTATTATTATAGATAATGAAACTGTGGCAACAGTTGGTCACCCACTCTGGATGTTTTCCATTAATGGAAATGACATTGCATGGGCTCATGCACACCCTCCCCACCAGACTGCTCTTGTGACCAAGCAGGATGCATCTGCAAGATCAGCTGGGACAAAGCTACATATTCTCTCAACTCTCTACCACTACCTACATAGCTCATTTCTACAATCCTGTCCCTCAGGGCCATCTTTTTAGAGCTGTACCAGGCAGGCAGGAAAAAATATAGAGTGGAGATATGCTTTTAGCTCACTCCCGGAGAGGCAACGTGTTACATACTGGGAAAAACAAGAGCTTTAAGCTCGGAAACTTGGGCTGACTTCTGGTACCACTGCATATATGTTGCGGTGTCAATGGCTGTGCCACTGCAACATATATCCCCTCTGAGTCACCTATCAGTTACTGTCATGATTACAGGAGAAAAACAATATAGTAAGTATTGGTTCCCTTCTACCTTTCAACTCTCCTACATCAATACTTAAGACATCAACATCATCAGAGGAGAACAATCCGAGAGCTGGGACAGTGGAGCGGGGAAGAGGAGGCAGACAGAGCCGTGAGGGTGTGGGGCTACCCCATACTTCACTTATGTCAACAGTCATGAGCTCATGGCACATGAGAAGCTTTGAGGTGCTGTGGGCTTTCGCATTGGATAAGTAGCTGTAGCTGTGGGGTTTTTACCTCACCAAATGCTCCTCTGCCTATTACTTTTAAGGACTCGAAATCTTCCAATCCAAGTCTTGTCCTCTTCAAACGAAGAAACTCTGTTTCCTTCCGAGCATGAGCTGATCGCCTGAGTCGTTTCTAATGTTTAAATAAAGGGTGAGAGGAGAGAGGGGGAGGAATTGAAATTCCCCAACAAAGTCATACTTGTGACTTTACCCATCTGGAAACCAGAACCACACCAGACTAAACATAATCTTCTCACCCAGGAAAGCACCACAGAAGGACCCCACTGCTCACTTCTCCCCCCTCCCCCCAGCCTTCAGATACAGAACCACACCACACTGAACAGAGAGTGGTTGCTTCCTCTCGGGACGCGGCACCAACCTCCCTCAGCCATCCACCATTCCAGCCTTTCTAATGAAGGAGGGATGACCCGCATTGTCGTTTAACCTTCGTTATAGAAAAGTGTGTGTGTTTTCATTTCCCTCTAGGTTTTTACACATTGCAGTTCATTGTACAATCGAGTTTTCTGTTATCTCTGTAAGTCTGGGGTATTTTTCACCATTTTCCTGGGTTCTGTAATTTATTTCTATTTTTGTAAGCATTTCCACTGCCATTTCAGGTCCTTGGGCAGTTATTAACTGTGCTTTCCTCCACCACATCGGAGGCATTAGAGGAAAGGGCTGATCTGCCTTGAATATGATTTCAGAAGTTTGTCCCACTTCTATGGAGCCTCTTCAGTGAATTCTGTAAGTATGCTATACTGTGCTTTTTAACATTTTAAATTGGTTTCATCTCTTCCTTTTCTTGGAATTCTAAGTTAATGCCAACTGACTTGCTATGATTGCACCCGGAGAAGTTCCTCTCCTGGCTGCTTACTCGTTAAGGACGAGTGCCTCAGTCCAGAAGCACCAGCCGCCCGCGGGGCTGCTGAGCAGAGCCTTCCCCGGGCATGGGCGCTAAGACTAACAACATGCTGAACAAGATACAACCTGCCATGCTGAGTTTCAAGGGAAAACAATTCTGATTTTAATTACCTCTTCATCCTTTAGGCCTTCTTCTTCCATCACTTTTTCTAACTTCTTCTGTCTAAAAATAAATAAAGATGTGAAATAATATTTGAATGTAATTTTCTGGAAAGCGTATACAAACATAAGAATTGTTTTTTAATGACAAAAACAGGTAGATCTTAAAAGATCTCATTAAAGTAACAAATTAGTTACTAAGACAAGTGAAAAGATTCCCACTCATTAGTTCTACATTTTGAAACAGACTGTATAAGATGTTAATGCAACAATCTTATTTCGAAATGAAAAGTTCTCTCTCTTTTTTTTTCCTGTCAGAACTGTATTTCCTCCTTAACAAACCACAAACAGCTGGTGTTTGATAACCTCATATCAGGGTGTTTCTCTCCCTCTCCCCATATCTACTTCCTTTATTTTCACATCTTCTTCCTCCTCCTTGCCACAAAGAATAATAAACAACAAAGATAAAATGCAGAATTTGGATATTTAAGAAAGGTAATTGGCGGGGGGGACGGGGAGGGGGCACCTATGAGGTGAGGAGGGGGAGAGATTGAGTAAAAAAGCCCCCCAAAAAGAGAGAAAAAAGTCATGGAGACAATAGGATGGTGACTGCTGGGGGGAGTGGGGAATGGAGGAAGGTAGAGGAAGGTATGGGGAGGATAATGGAGATGGGCAGAGACCTGACTTGGGGTGGTGAACACACAATACAGTGTACAGATGATGTGTTGTAGAATTGTGCACCTGAAACCTGTATAATTTTGTTAACCAATGTCACCCCAATAAATTCAATAAAAAGGGAGGGAAAAACCTTAAAATTCTAAATCCTTGGAGTACTGAATTTAGAAACTGTATTCAAGAATATTTTTATCTATTTTAATACTGGTTTGATAAAAACCAAAAGAAACAAAACTTGAGAACCAAGATGGCGGCATAGGTTAACGCCGGAGTTTGCTGCCTCGAACAACCACTTCAAAAGTGAAACTAAAAGACGGAAGGGACATCACCCAGAACCACAGGAACGCTGGCTGAGTGGAAGTCCTACAACTAGGAGGAAAGAGAAACGCATACGGACACTCAGAGGAGGCGCAGTGCTGAAGTCAAATTCTGAGGTGTGGAGTGCATGGGGAGCGGGCTGGCGGCGGAGGGCGCGGTTGGCATTTTCAATCGGGAGGGAGTCACAGACTCTGAGCTCCAGATCTGGGCGAGTCTTTAGGGACCCTGACTCAAACGGGAGAAGCAGGACTGTCTGGCTTTGGTCGGAGCGAGTGCAGCTTTCTCTCCGAGGTTTGCAGCGGTTGCTGGGACTCAGAGAGGCAGAGCCCCTGGGGACAGGACTAAGAGCTGCCATAACTGCTCTCTCCGGCCCACCCTGTTGATCCCGTGCGACCTGCCCCGCCCAAGCCCTGCACAGAGGCATTTGCTGGATAGCCTCAGGCAAAGGCTAGATTAGCTCCTCCCTAGAGGACAGAAGTTCTCTCACTGCAGACACAGCTGACTCTCACAGCCACTTGGCCTGGAGGTCAAATCCCCCCTAGTATTAGCTACATCAAGGCTTAACTACAAGACTGCGCACAAAGACCACTAGGGGGTGCACCAAGAAAGCATAACAAAATGCGGAGACAAAGAAACAGGACAAAATTGTCAATGGAAGATATAGAGTTCAGAACCACACTTTTAAGGTCTCTCAAGAACTGTCTAGAAGCCGCCGATAAACTTAATGAGATCCTCGAGAAATCTAATGAGACCCTCGATGTTGTGATAAAGAACCAACTAGAAATTAAGCATACACCGACTGAAATAAAGAATACTATACAGACTCCCAACAGCAGACCAGAGGAGCGCAAGAATCAAGGCAAAGATTTGAAATGCGAGGAAGCAAAAAACACCCAACCAGAAAAGCAAAATGAAAAAAGAATCCGAAAATACGAAGATAGTGTAAGGAGCCTCTGGGACAGCTTCAAGCGTACCAACATCAGAATTATAGGGGTGCCAGAAGATGAGAGAGAGCAAGATATTGAAAACCTATTTGAAGAAATAATGACAGAAAACTTCCCCCACCTGGTGAAAGAAATAGACTTACAGGTCCAAGAAGCGCAGAGAACCCCAAACAAAAGGAATCCCAAGAGGACCACACCAAGACACATCATAATTAAAATGCCAAGAGCAAAAGACAGAGAGAGAATCTTAAAAGCAGCAAGAGAAAGAAACTCAGTTACCTACAAGGGAATACCCATACGACTGTTAGCTGATTTCTCAACAGAAACTTTGCAGGCCAGAAGGGAGTGGCAAGAAATATTCAAAGTGATGAATACCAAGAACCTACAACCAAGATTACTTTATCCAGCAAAGCTATCATTCAGAATTGAAGGTCAGATAAAGAGCTTCACAGATAAGGAAAAGCTAAAGGAGTTCATCACCACCAAACCAGGATTATATGAAATGCTGAAAGGTATCCTTTAAGAAGAGGAAGAGGAAGAAAAAGGTAAAGATACAAATTATGAACAATAAATACACATCTATCAACAAGTGAATCTAAGAATCAAGTGAATAAATAATCTGATGAACAGATTATAATAGAATCAGGGACATAGAAAGGGAATGGACTGACTATTCTTGGGGGGGAAAGGGGTGTGGGAGATGCGGGAAGAGACTGGACAAAAATCGTGCACCTATGGATGAGGACAGTGGGTGGGGAGTGAGGGCCGAGGGTGGGGCGGGAACTGGGAGGAGGGGAGTTATGGGGGGGGGGGGGGTAAGAGGAACAAATGTAATAATCTGAACAATAAAGATTTAATTAAAAAAAAAAAAAGAAACAAAACTTAACCTTACAACCAATTCCCTATAACCTTTACTTATTCAGCATAATCAATGAAAGCACATGTGCTGGGATCTCCCCTCCACCACTCAGCATTCCAGAAGACAGGCAATGTGAGCAGGCAAAGAAGAGGAAGAATACAGGACACACGAAGTAACAGCATGCAGTGTAGCGTGTCTGAGGCGCACAGCACTTCTGCGTGCCTGGCTTAGTCTGCAGATGACTAAGAACTGACAGAGACTTGTGCACAAAGGAGTGATGTGATGAGATTTCTATTTAAGAATGGCAACCAGCAGTAATGAGCTAACGGACTAGCAGGAAAAGCACTGACAGACAGCAAATTAAAAGCTATTGTAAGGATTCAGCTGTGCAGTAAAGATCTGGAACTAGGACTGGAAACCCAGAGTGAAGTGAACAGAGCTATTGCAAAGATGACCAACTGGCAATAGAAGTCAAGGGAAAGATCTTAGAACTTCTTCTGTGGGAGGACAATGATGCCACTAACCAAGATAAGAAACACAGAAGAGGAACATGGAAAGACAATGAGTTTCCTTGTGGTCAATGAATATGTACTACAATAATACTATTTAGTTTAAATGAATATATTGTTAGAAATCATATTACAAACCCACAGGATCAGATGATGAGTAAGAATTTGTGTCTAGCCGAAACCAGTTTGGCTCAGTGGATAGAGCGTCGGCCTGCGGACTGGGGGGTCCCAGGTTCGATTCCGGTCAGGGGCGTGTACCTTGGTTGCGGGCACATCCCCAGTGGGAGATGTGCAGGAGGCAGCTGATCGATGTTTCTCTCTCATCGATGTTTCTGGCTCTCTATCTCTCTCCCTTCCTCTCTGTAAAAAGTCAATAAAATATATTTAAAAAAAAAAAAGAAAGAAAGAATTTGTGTCTAAACACTCAGGAAGTAAAAAGACCTGCTCTGCCCCCGATGGGAAGAAGTAAGAATCCGCATGACTGCCATCCCACTGTTCTTCTCCTAGTTCCCAGGATATGTGGGGATATGCATCTATGCATGCTCATGTACTGGAGTGAGAAGGCTGTACTACTGGTAGTTTCAGGAATGTAAATTAATTGCATTTCAGTGGTTAAATAGTTGAAGTAGAGAAGAATAAGAGTCAATCAATAGCAAGAACTGTAAGAACTCAACCATGTTCTGCTCTTTTTGTGCCTTGAGTGTCAAATATTATCATATCTTCCAACTACATGTTTTCTGAATGACCACATCAGATTGGGCTAGAAGTCAAAAGTGCTATCACACAATGTGTGTCACAAAGACAGCTCCTTTTGACTATAGTTTATTTTTTAAAAATTTATTGAGACAGAGAGAGGACCCAGGCCCTAGTCAGGGTGCATGCAGGAAGCAACCAATCTATGTCTCTCTCACATTGATGTTTCTCTCTCTGTCTCTCCCCCACACTTGCACTCTCTCTCTCTAAAAAAAAAAATCAATGGAAAAATATCCTTGGATGAGGATAAAAAAAGATAGACAGAGAAGCAAAAACTAAAAGACAAGACAAGACAAGACAAGACAAGACAAGGAAAGGAAAGGAAAGGAAAGGAAAGGAAAGGAAAGGAAAGGAAAGGAAAGGAAAGGAAAGGAAAAGGAGAGGGGGGAGAGAGGGAGAGAGGGGAGAGGGAGGGGAGAGGGAGGGAGAGAGGGGGAGAGAAGGGGAAACATTAATTTGTTGTTCCACTTATTTATGCATTCATTGGTTGATTCTTGTATGTACGCTGACTAGGGATCGAGCCCTCAATCTTAGCAAATTGGGATGATGCTCTAACCAACTGAGCTTCCCAACCAGGGCCTTCTGACTATATTTTATTCTGTTTTTTTCTTTCTTTTTTTTAAATACTTCTTTATTGTTGAAAGTATTATATATGTCCCCATTTTTCCCCCTGTGTCCATGGGTTATGCATATATGCATACAAGGTCTGACTACATTTTAAATCTAAATTCAAACTGAAAAGTTTTCCACAGCTTTATCCCAAGTGTAATTAAATTGGTTTCAGAACACCTGACTGAGAGTAAAGTTATCAGAATCAACCCCTTGAACACAATCAGATTCTTTCATTAGAGAATATATATATATAACCCTAATAAGCAAATAGACTGAACAGTGGAACAACCAATTGCTATGACGTGCACTGACCACCAGGGGGTATACGCAGAACATGGCGGGTGTCGGCAGCAGGCGGCAAAGCACAGAACATGGCGCTCGGCCATGGCGGGATGGTGGAGCAGGTGAGCAGGGCTGCCAGACCAAGGCGGGGTACCGGTTGCTATCATTGGGGCAAGCCTCTGGTGGTTACTGAAAATTCTTTGCTCCCGTGTGCCACAGTCCCGCCCAGCGCTTGCACCTGCTGCCAGCGCCGGCCCTGCTCGCACCTGCTGCCAGCGCTGGAGCCGCCGTTCGCACCCACTGCCGGTACTCGGCGCAGGCCCCAACCACTCATCGCTGTCAGAGGGTGCAGGCGGCGGCTGCCAGCTCCCATCACCCCTCAGGGCTTCTCCACCTCCCCCTGCTCCTGAAGGGCAATCAGGGCCCCAATCTCTCCACGCCATCAGCGGGTGCGAGTGGGGCTGGCGCCATCAGTGCACGGGAGTGGAGGCAATGGGAGCAGGACTGCTGGCAGACAGGAGACCAGGGGGTGCGGTGGGAGGGGCCAGGCAGGGGCACGGAGGATGGGCCCAGACAAGCCCCTGTGCCCACCGCAGCCTCGCAGCCCACTGTTCCATTCAAGGTGCATGAATTCATGCACTGGGCCCCTAGTATATCCAGAAAAGGCCTATCATACAGGATAATCCCTGGTAATAATGTACTGGGGCCAAGTCAACGAAGACCTTGAAGACACCAAAATGGCAAGCACAGCCTGAAAGGAGGCTTGACATCCTCTGTGAGACGATACCATGGAATTACTGGACTCTGTAAGATTCGTGGTGGCACTGTGATTATACAAGAAAGTGGCCATGTTTTTCGAGATGCATACTGAAGTACACAGGATTGAAATGGCAGATGTTTGAAATTTGCTTTAAAACACAATAACAGAAATGATTATATGAAATAACTTATGAACACCATTATGCACTCAACTTTGAAACTTTGTCATGTTTTGAAAAATAAAAGACCAAAAGTGACTCACATAGAAATAAAAAATTTGAATAAAAAAAAAATAAATAAAAAAAAAAATAAAACACAATAACAAGAAAAAATAAAATATAAATGATGAAACAAATTTAGTGAAGTCTTGATAATTACTGAATCTGAGGAATGACTATATGGTAGTTCACCGTATTAGTCTTTCCATCTATGTGCGTATTTAATTTTTTGTTGTTGTTAATCCTCATCCAAGAATATTTTTCCATTGATTTTAGAGAGAGTGGAAGGGAGGGGGAGAGACAAAGAAGGAGAAACATCTATGTGAGAGACATACATCGACTGGTTGTTCCTAAACACATCCCACCAGGGCCAGAGATGAAGCCTACAGTAGAGGTACATGCCCCTGACCAGTATTGAACCCAGAACCTTTCAGTCCTCAGCGACGCTCTATCCACTGTACCAAACTGGCTAGGACTTATGTGTGTATTTAATGACCCTGGCTGGGTGGCTCAGTTGGTTAAAGCATCATCCTGATATGCCAAGGTTTCGTTTTGATCCCTGGTCAGGGCACATACAAGAATCAACCAAGGAATGCATAAATAAGTGGGACAACAAGTCGATGTTTCTCTCTCTCTCAAATGAATGATTCTAAAATGTATATGGAAATACAAAGAAACTAAAATATACAATGCAATCTTGAAAAAAAAAAAAAAAAAGAACTAAGTTGAGGACTTACATTACTGACTTCAAAACTTACCATAAGGCTACAGTAATCAAGACAGTGTGATACTAGCACAGGGATAAATAGAACAATGAAACAGACTGGAGAGCCTAAAAATAGATACACACTTATATGGTCTTAATTTTCAACAAGTGTCAAAGCAATCTAATGGGGAGAAAAATAATCCTTGCAACAAATAGTGCTAAAATAACTAGATATCCATACGGAAAAAAATTCAGCTCAACTCCTATTTCCTATCACACACTTATTAATTCAAGATGGATCATAGTACTAAATGTAAAAACTAAATCCATAAAACTTCCAGAAGAAAACAGGACATCCTTATGACTTGGGTGTAGGCAAAGGTTTCTTCGAGGTCACAGAATGTAATAACTACAAAAGAAATAAATGCCAATATTGAAAACTTCTGCTCACCTAAAGACATCATTAGAATAATGAACCAGAAAGCCACAGACTGGAAGAAACTATTTGCAAAACTTATATATAACCACAGGGCAGTATCTAGAATATATAAAGAACTCCCTACAACTCTATTGTCAAAAATATGAATAAACACTTCACAAGAAAATATACAAATGGTCAAAAGCATACTGAGAAATGTCCAACATCATTAATCATCAGGGAAATGCAATTAAAACAACAGTGAGATACCACTGAACATCCACAAGAAGAGCTATAAGTTAAAAGACTGACAACACAAATGTTAGCAAAAATGTAAAGCAACTAGAACTCTCACACACAGTTGGTAATAGTTTGGGAAAAGGTCTAGCAATTTCTTATAAAACTAAACATGTGCCTACATATGTTTATGACTCAGCAACTCTACTCCTAAATTTACCCAGGAACTGAAAACAAATGTTCACAAAAAGATCTGTAACAAATGTGCATAGAAACTTATTCAAAATAGCAAAAAATTGAGAAAAACCCAGGTGTTTATCAACAGAATGTATAAACAAACTGAGGATAGTAAAAAAAAACAGAATGGTACTCAGCAATATAAAGGAACAAACTACTGACACAACAGCAACATGAATGTACCTTGAAAACATCAGGATGAGTGAAGGATGCCTTACTCAAATGAGCACTCACTCTACGGACCTATTAACATGTTCCATTTGATGGAACAGGCAAGGCCATCAATGGTAGAAACAAAGTCATAGCAATGGTTCCTGAGGGTGAAGGAACATCCCAGGAGGGAACCAACTTTCTGGGACAATGGCAATGGTTTATGTCTTGACAGAGGTTTAAGTAATACAGGTGTAGGCATTTGTTGAAACTCATCGAATGGTAACCCTTAAGATTGTACATTTCATTGCATGCAAATTTTATTCCCTTAAAATACTGAACTCTAGTTCATATACAAGCGGAAATAAACAGAAAGTAAAATATACTGACATCTGAAACATGTACAGCAAAACAGATTAATGAATGGATAGAGGAATGGATACATGGATTTATGATAAAACAACAAATTATTTTTTAAACAACAAATGATTAATTGCAGATTTTAGATGATGTATTTATGGGTATCCATTGTACAATTCTTTCAACTTATCTACACTTTTAAATATTTTCATAATAAAATACTGGGAATAAATTGTAATTATGAGTTACTACATGCATAATATACACCAGATTAATAACAATAGCTGCTACTACCACCATTAACGAAGTGATTATTATGTGTGAAGCACAATGGTAGGTACTCACATATGTTAAGTCTAATCCCCATTTTCCAGATGGGGAAACTGATACACAAAAAGACTAAGGAACTTGTTCCAACCTCATACAGCCTACTACATGGTAAAGGCAGGATTATAAACCCAAGTCTGATTACATAAGAGCTGTTCTTTCCATTACATCACACTGCCTTAATGAACTCCAAGGATTTGAACCAATTAATTGTTTTATCCTACCATGGAATATTGAGTTATTGGCTCAGTAGCAGAAATGAGGGGATTATAATAGCAAGGGCTTTGGAAATCAATGACACTGTCATTCTACTGTAATGGGATAGGCTATAAACATGACTGCTGTTATTCTTGTCTCCTTTCAACAAGAATATGAAGGTGCTTTATGATACCAGACATACATGCCAAAAACATGACACAATTTGCTTAAAATTCTTTACCTCATTTCTCGTTCTTCATGTTGAGCGATAAGATTGCTATAAAAATTCTCCAGCGTCACTTTGGTCATTGTCACCCTTTCTTTTGTGTGATTACTCATGGACGAGCAAGGTGTTGAGCCGGTCATTGCCATGGCTGCTAGAAACAAAGGAAATAAGAGGTTTTAATCTCACAATTATGTGCTCTCCTACCTTATAGGTAGGAATGTAAATTCGTACAACTTTTATGGAGGACAAACAAGTAAATAACAAAAGCCAGACAAACACTGGGTGAAAATAAGTATATATTAATGTCCCATGACCCAGAAATACCATCCCTAGGTAAAAGGCCTAGAGCAATTGTCACTCAGGCTCTTAAGGTAGCATGCACAAGGATGGACATTTCAGAGGATGTTCACTGTGCCATCATTTGTTATGGGAAGTTAGAGGCAATTCAGTAGACAAATAAATAAAATGTTGTGGATGCATACAAAAAAATACCTGTAGCAGTCAGAAGCAAATCTACGTGTACCTAAAAGTGGCATCAATATATCTTTAAAACAGTTTGGCATTTTTAAAAAGAAAACATGATCACAATACCATATGAGTAAATTAAGAATATATACTATAGACAGTGCAATTCCTTGCAATCTAGGAAGCTACCTTGGAGAAATCAAGACCCATAAGGATTCATACATAAGAAAGTTCGAGGCAGCATGTAAACAAAGGAAAACTAGAAATAACTTGAATATCCAACAACAGAAATGATTACATTATAATAAGTCATATAATGAAATAATATGCAGATAATTAAAATGTGTTCAGGCCAGCGGCGTGGCTCAGTTGTTCAGCACCTACCCATGAACCAGGAGGTCACGGTTCGATTCCCTGTCAGGGCACATGCCCTGTTTGTGGGCTCAATCCCCAGAAGGGGACGTACAGGAGGCAGAGGATCAATGAGTCTCATCATTGATGTTTCTATCTTTCCCTCTCCCCTACCCTCTCTCTAAAATCAATAAAAACATGTTTAAAGTAAATAAAATATGTTCAAATGTTTAATGCCAGGGGAAATGTTTCCAATCCAAGTAAAAAGAATATGTTACAAAACAGAATTTTTCCATGATCTCAGTACAATAGATCTTTTATTCTTGTTTATGCTTTCCACATTTTCTATATTTTCTTCAATGACTATGTACTATTACCATTAAGTTATCAATAACTCTTAAATTTACAATTTCTACAGTTTTAAAAAAATCTGACTAAAACACTCATCTATAGGTATATATGTACTCTGATATGTCTATTTGATAAATATTCACTATATATTTGAATTTACTAGTTAAAACAAAGACCTATGATGAAAACAATATTACAAAGAAAAAAACTAGACCATAATTTTAGTGATGAAAATATCAAAAAGAAAAAAAAAAGGCACCCTACCAGTACATATGACAAAGCCAATACTAAAAGTTTAAATAGCTGATAGAACATTTTCCCCCAAATTTAAATCTCATTTTCCCCCAGAAATTTTTGCCAACCTATATTGCCACACTTGGCCAGATTGCTCACCAACCTTGACTTGCTCCAGCACTAATGCTCATATTTTAGCCTTATCATATCTTCCTCCCATGCAAGTTGACTCTAAGTCTGTGTTTCCATCCTAAAATAAAGCTGACTAAAAATAGGGAGAGGCTAAGGTCCACTTTTAAAGGTAGTGCACTTTATGAAGTTCTCTCAAGGTTCTCCCCTTAATACTCAGTAGATTTTTTTGCTTTGTAGATCAAACTAAGGAATGTGCAAACACTTGTTATTACTAAGAAAAAAGACAACATTAAACAGTTTTATAAAATACTCACGGGGAAAAAACAAATAATCCCTTCAGAGCAAAGAGGTTCAAAATCAAGGCTCTATTTCAGAGTCAAACATTTTGATTCATGATGTGCCAAAATGACCAGTACAAATTCAGACACTGAACTCAGCTCTACCTTATTATAAAACTAGAAGCCCGATGCATGAATTCTTGCACGGGTGGGGTCCCTCGGCCTGGCCTGTGATCGAGGCCTATCAGGGGGCGGATGGCTAGGGAGAGGGACCATGGGAGGTTGGCCAGCTGAGGGGAGGGGCCCTGGGAGGTTGGCTGGCTGGGGGGAGGGTCCGCAGGAGGTTGGTTGTGGGAGTGCACTGACCATCAGGGGGCAGCTCCTGCATTGAGCATCTGCCCCCTGGTGGTCAGTGCGCATCATAGCGACTGGTCGACCGGTCGTTCTGGTGGTTTGGTCATAATGGTTGCTTAGGCTTTTATATATATAGATGTTATATATTTTTATGGGACGTTTCTGTTAATACCAAAGCAAACTCAAGTGTTTATAGGATATTAGAATTTAAAAACACACAAAAGCCTGGCTGGTATGGCTCAATGGTTGAGCATTGACCCAGGAACCAAGAGGTCACCGATTCTATTCTCGGATCAGGGCACATGCCCGGGTTGCAGGCTCAATCCCCAGAGGGAGCCATGCAGGAGGCAGCCGATCAATGACTTCCTAGCTCATCGATGTTTCTATCTCTCTATCCCTCTCCCTTCCTAATAAAAAAAAAAATCAATAAAAAATGTATTTTTTAAAACACACACACACACACACAAACAAAAAGCCACCTCTGTTTGGCCCTAGCCAGTGTGGCTAAGTTAGTAATGCACCAGAAAGGTCTCAGGTTTGATTCTCCATCAGGGCGCATACCTGGGTTGCAGGCTTCTTCCCCTGCCGCTCAGGGCACTTAAGTGGGAGAGGCAACTGATTTATATTTCTCTCACATCGATGTTTTCCTCTCTCTCTCTCTCTCTCTCTCTCTCTCTCTCTTCCCCTCTGTCAAAATCAGTGAAAAATGTCCTTGGGTGAGGATTAAAAAAAAAACCCGTGTTTGGTTTTGGGTGTGGTTCCTTATTTGTCAGCCCCTATCCTCTCTCCACCCACAATGAAAACCACATGCACTCTAAGTTTGGTGAAGAAATTTAAAAACCAGATTTAAAAACAAGTCTGAAGCAAGTGAGCACTTTGTACTCCACTCCTCCCTTATCTGTAAACTTCTAGAGACCCTTTATATATTTTAACAACTGAAATTACTTCAAACTTAAAAAAAAAAAACAACTAGAGTGAGTTTAAGCCTGAGAAAAACAGTACCTTCCATATAATAGGTAGAATCTACCTAATAAATATCAGTTGAGCAACTAAGTTAGTGATTTTTCAGTTGTCAATAAAGCTAAAAGAACAAAATTACATTTACATCGATGAGCATATAAAGACGGGGGAAGGGGGAGTTTTGACCCATTTAAGTGGATGTCATGACTTACTAAACTTCTTAAAAGATTAAACAGATTAAATTCACTCAAAGATGTTTATGTAGTAAGGCCAACAAATTTTCCAGCAGAATGGTTTTCGATCTTCACATACAGCCTCTAATGTAAGGCAAAGGGTGCACTGGCCGTCCCTTTGATCTTTCTTCAAAACCTTCTCCTGCCCTGGCCAGTGTTGTCAGTGGTTAGAGCCTCGGCCATGCACTGAAGGGTCTCAGGCCCAATTCCCGGTCAAGGGCACCTACCAGGGTTTCTGGTTTCACCTCCCCCATGTGCGACCAATTGATATGTCTCTCTCAGATTTATGTTTCTCTCCCCCTCCTCTCTTTCCTCCCCTCCAGTCTCTCTAAAAAATAAAAAAATAGCCCTAAATAGTTTGGCTCAGTGGATGGAGTGTCTGCGGACTGAAGGGTCCCAAGTTCGATTCCGGTCAAGGGCCTGTACCTTGGTTTCAGGCACATCCCCAGTAGGGGGTGTTCAGGAGGCGGCTGATGGATGTTTCTCTCTCATGGATGTTTCTAACTCTCTATCCCTCTCCCTTCCTCTCTGTAAACAAATAAAATATATTTTAAAATAAAAAAAATCAATGGAAAAAATATCCTCAGGCGAGGATATGAATGAACGAATGAATGGAGATCAAATAAAAACCATTGCTTGACCCAATCTAGAGATTTTACCTGACTGACTTGACAATGGTAGAGCGACCTCTATAAATACAACATCGGGGCTAAGACCATTCCTCAAGGCTCCCCTATCTAATTTCTCTTACTAAACTGTAAGCCCCTGGAGAGCAAGCATCCTGTCCTCTCCTGCTTTCAGAATCCTCCCCCATCTCACGTGCAACACTGTGCACTTGGTGAGCACCTTACAAAAAGGTTACCAGGAGCGCGGCTGGTGTGGCTCAGCGGGCGAGGGTCCACCGTGAACCAGGAAGTGGCAGCTGGATTCCCAGGGGGAGGCGTGCCAGAGGCGGCCAATCAATGGTTCTCTCTTCATTGATGTTTCTGTCTCTCCCTCTCCTCTCCCTTCCTCTCTGAAATTAATAAAAATACATATTTTTTTAAAAGTGTACTAGGAAAACGGTCTTCGTTGAGGTCCATTACCAGGAGTTGGGTGTGGGGTGGGGCATGGTTTCCTGCAGGGAGCTGGAGGAGAGCTGGTGTTGGGGTCCCCTCCTCTCCGGAGGAAGCTGGTGTTGGGGTCCCCTCCTCTCCGGAGGAAGCTGGTGTTGGGGCAGAGCGGAGCCTGGGACTGTGGTGGCTGTCTCACGTGTGGGGAACCCCATCTACTGCCTGGCTAATTCTTACTCAGAGCCCAGGCGCACTGGGAGGGAGAGGAAGCGCAGGGTCTGCACATTCCAAACAGAACGAGTTTCTCTCTGCCTCTTGGGATCGATTCCAAGGGCGACCGGGAGACCTGGTCTGTCCACGGGCCGCTCCGCACTCTCTCGGACACAGACTCCCCTCGAGTCCTTCCGACTTTCCTTCCTCCTCTCTCCTTAAGAGAAGGGTCCTCACGAAAGGTCCCTGCGATGTCCAGGTTACCTGGGCCCGGGACCCACAGCCGGACCGGGGAAGGGAGCGGGCTCGAAGGCCCCACGCCCCACGCTGGGCTTTCGACGGCTCTGCCTCGACGGCAGCTCTCAGGGCCTCGGGCTCCAAGAAAGAGAAACGGGGGTGAAGACCGGTAATGAGCGAGACCCCGGACGAGACAGATGGCAGCGCGCAGACAAAGCTGGCAACGCGGAAAGGAGCGCCCGGCTCCCCGCCCCGACTGCACACGACGGAGGAGAGGGGTCCGGTGGGGCCTCGGCGGCGGGGGGCCGGGCCGGGAGGAGGGCGCAGGCGGGACGCGGAGAGCCCCGGAGAGTCGGGAAGAAGAGGTGAAGGGCAAAGCCTGGGAAGGGCTGCAGGCAGCGGCAGCAGGACACTCACCAGAGCCCCGAGGGCGGCGGGGCTGGCGGCGGGCAGACAGCCGCAGGCGCCGGACGGCCGAGGTCTGGACGCGCGGACAGGGCGGCAGCCAGCCGGCCCGCGGAGGGGAGGGGACGGGGAGGTGCTCTGGGGTAGGGGACCAGGGGCGGTTGAGGGTGAGAACAACAGGAAGCGCCTCAACTGCCGGAAAAGACGGCAGCGCGGAGGGGCCAAGGCGGCCGGTCCCGGCGCAGAGAGGGGCAGGGGGAAAGGCCCGGGGCCGAGACTGCGCACGCGCGACTTCCCGGAGACGCGGCGGAGATTCGGGACTGCGCATGCGCGGCCCCACCCACCCACGCCCTCCCTGCCTGCGGGTGCAAGGGCGAGGGTGCGGGCAGAAGTGTGCCGTGCGGGGCGCTCCCGGGGTGCTGGGCCCTTGGGGGCGGCGGGGGTTCCCTTTGTGTTTTGTGTTTTGATTTTTCACTTTTTATTTTGGAATAATTAGACCCACAAAAGGTTGCAGAATTAATTACAAAGAGGTGCCTTATACCCATCAGCCACCCAGCTTCCTTCAACATCTTACATAACTAGACTACACTATCAAAACCAGGAAATTGACATTGGCGCAATACAATTAACTAGACGGATACAATTAACTAGATTACAGCCCTTATTCTAATTTAGCCAGTTTAGCATGCACTCATTTCTGCAAGTATATGTGTGCGTGCCTGCGCCCAACTGTAGTTCTTTTTTAAAATATATATATTTTATTGCTTTTTTACAGAGAGGGAGGGAGAGGGATAGAGAGCTAGAAACATCAATGAGAGAGAAACATCGATCAGCTGCCTCCTGCACATTCCCTACTGGGGATGTGCCCGCAACCAAGGTACATGCCCTTGAGGGGAATCGAACCTGGGACCCTTCAGCCGACAGGCCGACACACTATCCACTGAGCCAAACCAGTTAGGGTCCAACTGCAGTTATGTGAAATTTTAAAACCTGTGTAATCACTACATCTCCCCTCCCTGATTTTTCGCACACTGTAGCGAGGTCCGCTGCAGCCATTGACCCCACCTGCTTTTCCTTAAAGTAATAATTAACATGCCATATTGGGGGGGTCAGGCGAGCTCGCACAGGTTTGGACATGGGCTACAGGGAAGGCGACCTAGTGAGCACAGAAGAACTTGCTTTTCAAGGCTGCTCAACCACTTAGTCTGTACCACCCTTTGGGATTAAGAGGTCACAAGTTTACCTAGCCTTTGGGTACTCACTCCTTGAGAAAGGAGCTGTCCTAAACCAGTGTCAGGCTCCTGCAAACAAAGATGGTCTCTGCTGGCCTTCAAAGAGGTCATCTGGAGAGCAAAGAATTCTATGGGCAAGTCATTCATTAGGGTGTTTGTGATTTTATGGCTCTCTCTCTCTCTCAACTTAAGACCATAGGTCTTGGTTTTATCCTTCAAGCTTGGGATCCCAGGCTTTGTTTCCTTAATGGTCTTAAAAACATAGGCCTTCCTTGACTACTTTCATCTTTTTTTTTTAAATTGATTCTAGAGAGAGAGAAACATCAATTTGTTGTATTCAATCAATGCTCTAGCCCACTGAGCAACCTGGCTAGGGCTGCTTTGATCTTTCTAAACTTCAAAGCCCCTTTTGTATAGTCTCACACAAAAATTACCTCACCTTTCATTCTCTCTGCCCAGAGGCCCTTCTCCCTCAATGCCTTTTGTCAAAGTTCTAGCCATCCTTAACGACTTAATAACAGTGCAGGATGTTTGCATAGAGCTTTGCAGTGTACAAAGGGCTTTCACTCATTTTTATCTCAGTTGATTCTCACAGCTCTTGGGCAGGTTACACAGATGAGCTTTTTAAGTGATTTTTTTTTTACATTCAATTTTTACATTTTATTTTTAAATTATAGTTGACATGTATTAGTTTCAGGTGTTCAGTGTAGTCATTGGATATTTATATACCTTACAAAACGATTATCACAATAAGTCTAGTAACCACCTGTCACCATACACAGTTATTACAATATTATTGACTATACTAGAGGCCCGGCGCACAAATTTGTGCATGGGTGAGGTCCCTCGGCCTGGCTGGCGATTGGGCCAATCAGGACAGTGAGAGGTTGGCCAGCAGGCCCAGGGGGAGGAGCCAGGGGAGGTTGGCTGTGGGAATGCACTGACCACTTGGGGGCAGCTCCTGCATTGAGCATCTGCCCCCTGGTGGTCAGTGCACGTCATAGCAAGCGGTCGACCTGTCATTTGGTCGTTCGATCACTTAGGCTTTTATATATATAGACTAGAGGCCCGGTGCACAAATTCATGCACATTGAAAGGAAATTAATTAGAAAAAATATTTTAATATCGCTATTCGCCCTTTCTCTATAATAGAATTGTCAACCAAATTCACAATTGTCAATGACAAAGGGAAACACATGCATGCAATTGGCGCCAGCAAGAGCTTTATATATATAGATAAATTTACTTAATTAGACCTGCTTTCTGATTTGGCTAAACTTTTTCCAGCCCAGTGAAGCACCCCAACTTCTCTTTCAGGTAATTGTCAGCAACACAGCAGTATATATCAACACGAAGCAGATTATTATTGTAGATCATGCAGGGAAAACAAAAGGTAAAACAGTTAACTGCAGCAGTGTTTAACTATCTTCTGTGCAGTGAGAAAAGTTGGTCATTTTCAAGGTCCACCATTTCTTTTTTTTTCTTTAATAAATTTTATTGATTTTTTACAGAGAGGAAGGAAGAGGGATAGAGAGTTAGAAACATCAATGCGAGAGAAACATCGATCAGCTGCCTCCTGCACACCTCCTACTGGGGATGTGCCCGCAACCAAGGTACATGCCCTTGACCAGAATCGAACCTGGGACCTTTCAGTCTGCAGGCCAACACTCTATCCACCGAGCCAAACCGGTTAGGGCAGGGGTGGGCAAGCTTTTTGACTTGAGGGCCACAATGGGTTCTTAAACTGGACCGGAGGGCCAGAACAAAAGCATGGATGGAGTGTTTGTGTGAACTAATATAAATTCAAAGTAAACATCATTACATAAAAGGGTACGGTCTTTTTTTTTTTAGTTTTATTCATTTCAAATGGGCGGATCCGGCCCGCGGCCGTAGTTTGCCCACGGCTGGGTTAGGGCAAGGTCCACTATTTCTTACTTCTTTTCAGTCGGGTCAGGTTTCTAAACTTTCTAAATCTTTCTTTTCCAGCTGAAAAGAAAATAGGATTCCACCAAGTCTCCTGAGTCTCCTACCTACCTACTCCAGGACTTCTGTGAGGATCAAATGAGATAAGGCACAGGAAAACACTTCACAAACATTTGGTTAAAGTATAAAATGTTTGCACCTGGCTATAAAATCGTGTTCCTGGGCTGAAGAAACTCCAAGGCAGCTAGTCTCTAGGGAGAGGAAGCTGGGCGTTGCTACGTGACATCATTACCCGGTGCCCACAGTGACTGTTTCCGGGCTGGGCTGGGCTGTGGGCCACATGCTGTGCCATGGGGTCGTGGCAGCGTTGGCTGTGATTTGGTGGGCTGTCTCTCTGGGGTGGTGGTGGGACCTGTGTCCCACTTGGGGGAAGCTGAGTGTTGCTTTGTTGGTGCCAGGTCTATGGTGCCATTTCATTATAAATGGTCAGTGTGCATCATAGCAGCTCCTGCATTGAGTGTCTGCCCCCTGATGGTCAGTATGTGTCATAGCAACCGGTCGGATGGTTGGAGGGACACTTAGCATATTAGCCTTTTATATATATAGATTCCCTATGCTGTACATTACATCCCCATGACTTAATTTATAACTGGTAGTTTGTACTTCTTAACCCCCTCCCTTCACCTTTTTGTGCATTCCCAACCCCCCTCCACTCTGGCAACATCTGTTTGTTCTCTGTATGAGTTTGTTTCGGTTTTGTTTTGTTTACTCATTTGTATTGTTTTTTACATTCCACATGTAAGTGAAATCATACAGCATTTGTCTTTCTCTGTCCAATTTAGGATGACTTTTTACAGATAAAGTAACTAACACTCAGAGAACCACAATGATTCGCCTGACTTCTCACAACTAGTAAGCTAGTAGTGAAGTAGTGAGCCCCATTTTCTGACTCCAAAAGCAATGTTCTTTCTGCTTTCCCCTTCCCTCCCTCTAACGCTCAGTTCAAACCTGATCTTCTCCTTGGAGCCTTCCCAGTTTCAGAAGAGGGATTTTGTTCTCTGCTCTCTGTATTCCTACTCTAATAGCTACTGACGTGTTCCTCAAAATAGGGCAGCCAGAAAATGCTGCTCTCACTGCGTGGACCCAAACAATGACGTTTTACCATGACTCCAATAAGTGTAGTGGACATTTGTCATTCTTTTTGACTACCAGAATCCCTTTCATGCGTTTCTCACTTCTCATTAAAACGGAAAATTCCAGATATCCTCTCTCCTTGATTCCTTTGCAATTAGGGTGCAGGCACAAAACCTAAGTGCCACCAATCACTTAGACCCACCCCAGACTGTGAGTTGGAACCTAAGGTGATCTGACCCTACTTGCAGGACTCGGCATCATTTGCCTCACTCTAGTACTGTTGTCAGATCCTGTCTTTATTTTAAATGTTGATATTTGTTTATCATGGATTTTAAAAAATGTATTTTTTTATTGACTGCAGAGAGGAAGAGAGAGGGAGAAAGAGATAGAAACATCAATGATGAGAGAATCATTGATTGGTTGCCTCCTGTACACCCCCTACTGGGAATCGAGCCCACAATCTGGACATGTGCCCTGTCCAGGAATTGAACCATGACCTCCTGTTCATGGGTCGACGCTCAACCACTGAGCCACACGAGCCAGACATCATGGATTTTTTTGCATTAAAAATTATTCTTTTAAATATTGCAATAAAATATATTGATTACTGAGTTATTTGCCACCCTCATCAATCTTGTGCCGAGGGGCCTGTCTTGCTCTTCGCACCCTACTCCAGGCCCTGGAAAGATCGCACTGAATCTGTAGAGAGTGGCGGCTGCTCCACACAGTGTCTAAAGACCTGCACAGAGGTCACCTGGGCCAGAATTGTGTCACAAGGCCACCCTTTCTGGGAAGGCTCGTATTCAGCTTTTTTATGCTCTATAATGAAGGCAGGCAAGAAAGAAAGGAGTTGGGAATAAATATTGGGTTATCCAGCCAATAACGTTTGCCATGGTAGTATATACTTCTTTGCTGTTCACTTTTAATTTTACCTGCTAATATAAATGGAAAAGAAACT